GGACGCTGCCTGGGCTGGGCAGGAAAGGCTGCCGGGTGGGCACCTGGGGTCGGGACCTGCGCGGGCTGAGCCCGGCTCCTGTCGCCCTCCGTCCTGCAGGGCCGCCGCGACCATGGGCCGCGAGTTCGGGAACCTGACGCGGATGCGGCATGTCATCTCCTACGGTTTGTCGCCCTTCGAGCAGCGCGCCTTCCCGCACTATGTGAGCAAGGGCATCCCCAACGTGCTGCGCCGCACTGGGGCATCCATCCTGCGCGTGGTGCCGCGTGAGTGCCCGGGGCCGGCCGGACGGGAGGGCGGCGGGTGGAGGCCCCCAGCCGCAGGGGCGGCGGTCGGGCAGGCACCCCGACTTCTCTTCACGCCTTTCTCCGTCAAGGGCCCTGCCGGCGTCCTCCCCTTTTCCAAGGAGGACTCTGAGTCTCAACTGAAATGACTGGGCTAAAGTCCCTGGGGGTGACTCCAACGTCTCTATCCAGGTCATCTTTATCCACTTACCAGTGATGAGCTGTTTTGTGTTCAATTAAATGTGCAGCCGGTGGTGATGGGTGTTGCATGTCACTGTGAATATGTCCAGTCCCACTTAAGAGTCCACGTTAAAATGATGGCATTGGTTATGTGAATTTTATTTCATTAAAATTAGTTTTTTTCTAATACGCAGCAGGATGGGAAAGATTTGGTGACTGAGTGGGCTGCTGCTGCCTTTTGGTCACCTGTAAATTGGGAAAAGTAGAGACTGATGGAGGGCAGAGTCTGCCGTTCCTCCGAAAAAGTTCTGAACCCAGTGCCTCCCATGTGCTCCCTACTTACTCTCACTTTTGATTTTTAAAGCATTCGTAGTGTTTTATCTTGTCTACACGTGGGGGACCGAGGAGTTTGAGAAATCCAAGAGGAAGAACCCAGCTGCCTACGAAAATGACAAATGAGCAACTCACCTGGATGGCGGTTTCCTGTCTGTGAAAGACCCTTCTCTGGGAGAGGAGTCTGCATTGTAGTGTCCTGAAGACACAATAAACTTCTATGGGCTGCATTGTCGTGATTTTACATTTTTGTGAGCACGAAGCTCTCCTCAGCATGAGTGCTGAACAGTTTTGCCTGGTTAGGCTTTGGTGAAGAAGCGGGGCTCACCCCTGGTTCTGTGATCTGTAAGAAATTAGCTGCAGCTACTCATGCAGCTAATGAGTTGTGGGCAGGGGTTATGGGAAGCGTTGATTCTTGCCCTCTGCTCCCATAACAGTAGTCTAGTAACTATATATTTTTTTAAAGAATTATTTATTTAATTCCATTTGTTATTAATTTTTAATTTTACCAGCGAGAGAGAGAGGGCAAGAGAGAGAGCAAGCCTCCAGGTCCAGGACTCAAACTGCAGTAGGCCATGTGGGAATCCAGCACCTTTAATCACCACGCCACCTGCTGGCCCAGTAGTCTAGTAACTAATTGCTCTGTGTCAGGTACTCTTCTAGTCACACAAATTCTTCTAAACAACTCTTGAAGTATTATTTTTATTATTTCTCAGTTTAGGAAACTTGCACTGAGAGCCTAAGTAGTTTGGTCATAATTATTGAGCAGTGAATGGTGGGGTCTTGCATCAAATCTATGCTCTGAGAGTTACATTACACTGCATTTCCCCGCTAAGGCAGGCTTTCCATAGCCTGAAGGGAAATCGGTTATAGGAGGGGAGCAGTGGTCCCTTGGCCCTACTACAGCAGGGGTCAGCATACTTTGGCTGTTTTTATACAAGGGAGTCAACACTGGCTTTAACCACATGTGGTCCATGTAGCTTAAAATACCCCGGGGCCAGCAGGTGGCATGGTGGTTAAGGTGCTGATTCCTGCATAGCCAACTATGGTTTGAGTCCTAGACCTGATGGCTTGAAAAATCACACTGGGCATGCATGTATGCATGCCCAAAATCCCAGGAGAATAGAGAAGGGATTGAGTCATGGCCATCTCCCCATGGGGGTGGGGGTGATTTCTCACTTTCCCTCTTGCTCTCTCTCTCCAAGGGGTACATGCACCTTATAGCAAAAACCTAAAAAAAAAAAAAAAAAACTCCAGTCCTTGGGCTAACTGGTGGTGGTGTGGTTAGGGTGGCCGAATCCCACATGGCCACCAGCTGTGTGGTTCAAGTCCTGGACCCATTGGCTTGAAAAACATGCTAGGCACATACTTACCTGGCAGGGGAGATACCATGATCACGAAGGTGGTTTTCCCAGGGCAAGGCTTATCCATTGCACTCTGAATGTGCTGACCCCTGCGATTTCCCCAAATTTGGGAAACAACTGAATAATTTGTGTTAGTGGGGGACTGTGTTCATGCTCTCCCCTGGTGGAAAAAAAAAAAAAAACATGCTGGGCACTTGCTCAGAAATCCCAAGAGGATGGGAACCAGCAGTTAGCGTAATGGCTATGTCGCTGGACTCCCACGTAGTCGACCGCGGTTCGCGTCCCGGACCTGGTGGCTTAAAACTCACGCTGGGCGCGTGTGCGTGCGTGCCCAAGATCCCGAGAGGAGAATGGAGGAGAAGGGATTGCGGCGTGACCATCCCCCCTGGGGGGTGATTTCTCGCTTTCTGTCTCTCTGTCTCTGTCTGTCTGGCGAGCGCACGTGCCCTATAGCAAAAACCTCTCCAAAAAAAAAAAAAATCCCAAGAGGAAAATGAAGGAGAAGGGATTGTGCTTTCTTACTCCCCACCACCTCTGCGTATGTTCTATAGAAAAAAATTTCAGGGGCCAGCAGGTGGCATGGTGGTTGGGGCACTGGACTCCCACATGGCTGATCGTGGTTCAAGTCCTTGACCTGGTGACTTGCTTTCTTACTCTTCCTTTCTCCCTGTCTCTGGTCAAATTAAAAATAATAAAATTGAAGAAATAATTTTTTAAAAAGTTCTGTCCCTTTCTTAGCAAAAGTTTACTCCTGCCCTAGAGCCTTTGAGTTACCTTTCCAATAGAAACTAGCACTTCCCTGTCACCAGGAGATGGATGTGGTGGACATTTTTATGCTCCTAGTTGGTGCTTTTTTAAAAAAATATGTATCACTGATTTATTTTTCACATCAGATGGGTACAGTGCCAATTCATAACAAGGTTTGAGGGAGGTACATCTTGTAATGGTGTGAAAACCTACTCGTGCTTATGAACCACAGAAGGATCAATACAAATATTTTGTATGTATGGCTTGATGTAAGATTTTTTTTTTCTTCTTCTTTTTTTTTGAGAGGTTTTTTCGCTGTAGGGCACGTGTGCTCGCCAGACAGACAGACATAGAGACAGAAAGCGAGAATCACCCCCCAGAGGGGATGGTCACGCTGCAATCCCTTCTCCTCCATTCTCCTCTCGGGATCTTGGGCACGCACGCACACGCGCCCGGCGTGAGTTTTAAGCCACCGGGTCCGGGACGTGAACAGCGGTCGACTACGTGGGAGTCCAGGACATAGCCATTACGCTAACTGCTGGTTCCCCGATGTAAGATTTTTTTCATAAAATGATTTCCATACCAACATACTTTAAAAATATTGTTTTAATACATAAACTAACGTTGCCTTGCATATCAGTCATTCATCTATTCCTTTTATTGAGATTTAATTCGCAGACCACAAAGCATTTGAAGCATTCATTTAAGTCAGTATAGTACTTTCACAAGGTTGCACAATCATCACTAATTCCAGTTTATTTCAAAAAATTGAAAAACCAAAGTAATTTCATTCAATAAATATTTGGTCCTTATGCAATATTACTGCAAAAAGTGAAGTCCATGTTAAGAATGAGGACAGCAAGTTCTCAACCAAATAACCAGTTTTCAGACAGTTTTTGAATAACTGCAGCAGTTTCCTTGAACTGTCCGTAGAAATTTTTTATTTTATTTTTTTTTGGAGAGATTTTCACTATAGGGCGCGTGCGCACGCCAGACAGAGAGAGAGAGACATTAGAGACAGAAAGCGAGAAATCACCCCCCAGGGGGGATGGTCACGCCGCAATCCCTTCTCCTCCATTCTTCTCTCGGGATCTTGGGCACGCACGCACCCGCGCCCGGCGTGAGTTTTAAGCCACTGGTCCGGGACACGAACCGCGGTCTACTACGTGGGAGTCCAGCAACATAGCCATTATGCTAACTGCTGGTTCCCGTGTCCGTAGAAATTTTGAAATTGTGGAATTGGCATTTCAGAGCACTTGTTCTTTCCTTGCCCTAAATGATCCTCCACTTCGCATCACTGCCAGGTACAGATATTAGATCTGCAACTGTGAGAGCTCACAGCCCCCTCTAGTTCCCACTGAAAATCTGTACACCGACTGGTGACCTTGGATTGGCATCCAGCAGGGTCTCACCCTACCTGTCTACGGTCAGGTCAGCACTGGAGTTCGTCCTGCAGATAACTGCAGACCCTCCTCGGTGCTCCATTTTTAGAAACTTCTGAGGACACCTCTTAGTCAGAAGCCACATTCAGTATAGCTCAGCTTCTGGCTGGCTGTATTGCTCATTCTTACTCTTACTGCAGTTGCCTTTTTTCTTTAGTTTTTTGCCATAGGGCACGTGCACTTTCTGGGGAGAGAGTGTGAGGGGAAGTGAGAAGTCACCTCCGGGGGGAGAGGGGAATGGCACACCACAGTCCCTTCGTTCTCTGGAGATTTTAGGCACACATGCACATGGGCCTGGCGTGATTTCCAAGCTGCTGGGTTTGGGACTTGAACCATCGTTGGTCAGCCATGTAGGAGTCCAACACCTTAACCACCACACCACCTCTTGGCCCTTTGCTGTTGCCTTTTAAGAACCAAAATTAAATAGTTTAAAACAACAAAACTCCATCAGATAAAGTCAGTTGATGTTGAAGCAGGATGTAGGGGAAAGGCTGAAACTTCGACCCATACCCTCACACTGTTACTTCACTTCTTACTGTGATACAGGCAAGAAAACTGCACTCCTGAGCCTCTTTTCTCATCCATAAAAGAGAAATGTTAATACCAAAGCCTTGGGTCATGGTGGTGGAATGATATGTAAGTGGCAGGGTGGTAGGGGTGGGGGTGGGGGCAGCTGAGAGAAACTTGCACCCCACCCCCTTTCGGTCATGGTCTGATTTTTTCCCATTTGGCTCTTTGTCCAGACTTATTGCCAGGTCTTGCATCATGTTTGGGTTGTAGACTCCTCTGAGAATCTGATGAGACAGGACCTGAAGGTGTGAATACACCCACCCTTACCTTGCTGTTCCTAGAGGGTCACAGGCCAAGGGAGGACTCCTGCCTTGATGGGGCGTTCATCTTTTTATGGTCTTCCTCCCGGATTCTGTCCCCACACTTCTGGGGGAAATGACTACCCCCTTCTATCGCCCTGGCCTTATTTTACCCTCAGATTATTTCTTCCTGGTTCTTCAGTTCCTCTGGTGATACTAGCTCAAAAGAACCAAACTTACACTTTCAGTGCAGGCCAGGCATTGCGCCTTTTTCTGTCAGAGTCCCCTGCTAAGATGACTGGTGTAGGCCCTTTGATGCCCTGAGTTTCTCTTTACAAATAAGGAGTTAAAGGCTGCATTAGAAGGCCTGTCACTATGGGGCTTCCTTTTCTAAGTTTGAAGATGCAGGTTTGCCAGTGACAGGGCACTGAGGCAGAGGTGTGGAGTGCAGTGAGTGGTCATAGCTCAGTGTTCCCACACACGATGGGGGATCTGAGGTCATTTGAGGGCATTGTAATTGTAGAAATCCACAGTAAAGACAAAGAGGTGGGGACCAGCAGTTGGTGTAATGGCTATGTCGCTGGACTCCCATGTAGTCGACCATGGTTTGAGTCTTGGATCTGGTGGCTTAAACTCAGGCTGGGCGTGTGTGCATGTGTGCCCAAGATCCTGAGAGGAGAATGGAGGAGAAGGGATTGCGGGGTGGCCCTACCCCCTGGGGGTGATTTCTCGCGTTCTCTCTCTGGCGAATGCATGTGCCCTATCACAAAAACCTCTCCCAAAAAAGAGAAAAGACAAGGAGGCAAGGACTGCTGCTGCGGGTGGATGCCTACAATCTATCCCCGCTGGAGCCTCCTGCTCTGGGTGTGGCTTCCTCACCTGCTTCTGTGGCACCACCTGCTCTATTAACTCCTTTTCCTAAATGCTCATGCCCCCACCAGGGCTTTCCTCCGGTCTGCAACATGGTCCCTGAGACGCAGGCCTCCTTAATACGGGCTCAGAAGCCTGCTTTTCCAGCCAACAAAAAAGCAAATACACTTTGACCCTTTGTTGAAATTTTACCTGGAAAAGTTTTTCCATTTCAGAGTCTTTCATTTTTTATTAGGCACCTCCTGCTCAAGGGACAGAAAGAAAGTTTCCAATTACTGCCCGGCCCTACTGATCACCTCTCCACCTGGAATGTGTTTCAAACAGTGCTCGCGTATCTCCCTCCACCCGCTTTCTCCTGTGTCATCCTAGGCACTTACCTCAGAAGCAGATCGTCTCTGGGAGTTACGTTCAGAGTTACCGAGCTCTCCGCTATCAACCCTGCCTCCATCTCCTTTTCTTGTAATCATTCGAACCCCAAATGTCAGTACCTGAGAGGACTGAGATCTGCTCCCTTCTGACAGAAGACCACAGTCCAAAGAAGGGGAGGGCTGGCCTGAGGTCAGTCGCACCGGGTAGACTCTAGGTCCCTGTCTCCTGGCCACGCATTAAATGCCCGCTGGGGTCTGCTGTAGGAAGGAGCACGTACTTGTGTTATTTGTTTAGGAAAACACTTGGTTGCAGAGAGCCTGTGAATTTTTTTTTTTTTTTAAATTTCAGGTCTCACAGTCTCAAAGGGTATGGGATGGCAGTGGACAATAGCTGTCAATTCAGTAAGTGCCATCTGGATGCTGCTTTGCTTCTGAAGTTTGAATTTTGCTATTTTTTAAAATTTTGCTATAGGGCACATACACTCATGAGATGAGAGAGAGAGAGAGAGAGAGAGAGAGAGAGAGAGAGAGGACAGCACGTTGTTCAGTCTTGCTTATCTAATCGGATTTGTGTTCTTACTCAATGTTCACTAGGTCACCACATAGCCTCTCCCCAACCCTGCAATGGTCCCAGTCAGGCCTCCACCTGGGGTCATCCAGTATCCAACCTCAGGGGTAATGGGAGGGAGTAGATAACTAGCCTCAAATTGTCAGGTTTGGTCAGTTGGGTTTGATAAATAGGTCTGCTGCTCAGTATTTCCAATTTTTTTTAAGGTTTTGCTATAGGGCATGTGTGCTCACCAGTGAGAGGAAAAGTGAGAAATCATCCCCCAGGAGGATGGCCACACTGCAATCCCTTCTCCTCCACTCTCCTCCTGGGATTTTGGGCATGCACACATTCACCCCTGGTATGATTTTCAACCTGCCAGGTCCAGGACTCAAACCATAGTCAGCCATGAGAGTCCAGCAATGTAACCACCATACCACCTGGTACCCCTGCAACCCTCAAAGTTCTTAAAAGTGCAAGCAGCGGTGTTTCCTGCAGGCCTGGTTCCTTGACCCTTAGAGGACTGGAACCAGAATAGACAGACCAGTGGTCACAAGCTGGCCAGTCTAGCTCTGAGGTGCATCATACCACCATCTTCTCCTTTGACAAGAAGCACCCTCTATTTGTGAGGCCATGGATTGGTAACCACACTGCTCTACCTTCAGCTGTGCCTCATCTCCGCTGTTCCTTATAAGGGAACAAGCAGGCTCTTACCCAAATAGCCAACCTCTGAAGATAAGGGCCTTGGGAAGAGCTATGAGTCAAACGTACATGGAGCTATCAGGCAGTTACAGAATGCTGTTCCATTTGTCTTGCCTTATTGCCCTTCTAGGTCATAGGAATAGCTAAAATGCTGTGACTCTTACTCAGAATCCACACCTCCACCTCCACTGCCAAATTTATTAAAATGTCCATGTTGGGACCAGCAGTTAGCGTAATGGCTATGCCGCTGGACTCCCATGTAGTCGACTGCAGTTCAAGTCCCAGACCCAGTGGCCTAAACTCATGCCAAGCACGTGCGCGTTGTGTGCCAAAGATCCTGAGAGGAAAATGGAGGAGAAGGGATTGCGGCGTGGCCATCCCCCTGGGGGTGATTTCTCGCTTTCTGTCTCTGTCTTTCTGGCGAATGCAAGTGCCCTGTAGCAAAAACCTCTCCAAAAAAAAAAAGCCCATGTCACTTAATGAGTGTCCATGCCCATAACTACTCACGGTTTAAATACATCCTCTCTTGGTCTAGAGGCTGCAGTGATTCCTACTCAAGCTGATAGTTTTGGGCTTTGGAAATGTCTCAACCCTAAGCCTGCTGCCCAGAGACTAATGGAAGCAACTCTGTTAAAGCCCCAATCGGCCTCCAAACAGAAAGCCCACAATTCAAGACATATGTTATTACACACTTACGTAGAATCTCCCACTTACGTAGTTTCTGCTACCTCCTTCATGCTTTTAAGAAGCCTCTAATCACTCATTCAATATGCCATGAACTAAGTCCCACATCAGTCCTGATTGCCTGTCTCCTGGAGAGGACAGCTGGGACAGGTTTTAAAATTTCACATAGGTCTTCAATCTGTTAGATAACTGGCACAGATAATTAGGGTGACCGTCCATCTGTGTAAATGGAAGATCTGGGGCACTTGGAGACCATGTTTGCTAAGCATTTTCCCATAGGAAGGAGATAAGGACCTTCTCCAAATACCTGTACACAACAGGTCAGTGCTTTTTTCCTAGACAAGCTGATAGGGGTCAATGCTATTTCTGAAGACCTCATTTTAGAATTCTATTTAGATTAGGGTGAGCTCACTGAGCTATTTTGGAATAGCAATGTGGCCAGGTGCCTGACGTCCCTCAGTCATTTCACGTGGCTTTCAAAGGGAAGGAGGGGCAGTGCTGACTTTTCGTAAAACGGGTGAAAGGGTTCAGGCCAACAACACAATCACTCAAAGTCCAGGTGAGGGATCAGTAAATACAACGTGCCTGAAAGGCAGCCCTTGAGCACATTTTTCTGGTAGACATTAACTTATTATATCGATTCTGATTACAAATATAAACTTTGCCCCCGTCTCACCTGGCCAACATGGAAGGGACAGTCTATAAAAGCAAGGGGAACTGTCCCTGGCTTGGAAGTTCCAACATCCTCCCTCTGTGAAGATGTGGCACCTCAAACTCCTTGCAGTGCTCATGATTTGCCTGCTGCTACTGGGCCAGGTAAGGAAAGACGCAGTGTGTGTGGAGGTGGGGTGGAACTCTGAGAGGAACTTCCCGAGGAACAGTTCCTGTTGTGTCTACGGCACGCTGGGAATGAGCATTCTTTGAAGGTGCACAGGTGTCAACTCTTCCATACCTGAGGTGAACTGTCTATCCTACAGGTACACGGCTCTCCAATACAAGAACTGAATTCAACAAAGAAAAGGCCACGGAGAATGACCCCATTTTGGAGAGGGGTTTCCCTTAGGCCCATTGGAGCCTCCTGCCGGGACGACTCTGAGTGTATCACGAGGCTATGCAGGTACCCCACAAACCCAGGAGCAAAGCTGGGTCAGAGCGCCCCAGGAAGCTAGGCAGAGGAAATCAGGAAACATACAGGCCTAAGAATAAACCTGGGATGTCAGAGCACCTGTGCTGGGCCTGGGTGCTCCAGGGAGAATCCCTCTAGGGTTAAGCCAAGAACAGCTCTACATGGGCACCATTAAACAGTGGAGCTTGTTTTCCTTGGTCTCCCCTGAACTGAACAGATCAAGCAGCAAGGAAGGAAATACAACAGAGGTGGCCCTGTGCATCCCTTGACTGAGTTTTTTTTTTCTTTTTTTTTGAGAGGTTTTTGCTATAGAGCCACATGCACTCGCCAGAAAGAGAGACAGAAAGCAAGAAATTACCCCCCACCGGGGAGGACCACACTGCAATCTCTTCTCCATTCTCCTCTCGGGATCTTGGGCACGCATGCACATGTGCCTGGCCTGAGTTTAAGCCACCAGGTCCAGGACTTGAATTGCAGTCAACTACATGGGAGTCCAGCAACATAGCCATTATGCCAACTACTGGTCCCTCGACTGAGTCTTAAAAATCTTTTCTTTTACCCTAGAAAAAGATGCAACATAGCCATTATACCAACTACTGGTCCCTCGACTGAGTCTTAAAAATCTTTTCTTTTACCCTAGAAAAAGACGCTGTTCTCTAAGTGTGGCCCAGGAATGATGGACATATCAGCGAAGAAAGGACAGTGGTCACCTCCAACAATGCTCCGTTCTATGGAATATTGATTACTGTGGTTTGGCTGGAGACACATAAGTGAAGCAACCTCGTGTTTTTAATATTTAAAGACAGATGATGCTTTCAGTTGGTCTCCATTTATTCTTAGAGTGTTGATAAATGGCTAAGTGTAAGTAAATTTGTCAATTTAGAGTTTATTTTTCTATGGATACTATTAAATGTCTCGAATTGAAATTCTGGCAGTCTGCAATTCAAGCTTTTGAGGGGAAAGAATTCACTTTATATATGATATGAAAGAGAGCACTGATTGCCTAACAATGAAGTGGTAATTTCTCAACCTGAAAAATGTGGTGAGAGTTAACATTTTCTCAATCTTACAAAGAACACAGTGGCAAAAAGTTTGGCAATAGCAATGTAATCAGCTTGGCAAGATCGTAAGTTGGGGCCCTGGGCCCTGGCCTTTCACTCACATAGTGTGTCCTAGAGGGGCCAGATCGGCACTTGGCACCTTATGACAAGCCCAAGTTCCTAACTATCTGATCATATGGCAGAACTGGAAACTTGAAACAGCTAGTTCAATAAAACAAAAATAAAATAAATGATAAAATGCCACCAAGAACACCAAAAAGGATGTAGGATTTCTGTTGGAACAGAGTGAATCTGATCTGTGTACAAGGACCCATGGCTGGCAAGTTCAGAATTTCTTTTTTTTTTTTTTTGAGAGGTTTTCGCTATAGGGCGCGTGCGCTCGCCAGACAGACAGAGAGAGACATAGAGACAGAAAGCGAGAAATCACCCCCCAGGGGGGATGGTCACGCCGCAATCCCTTCTCCTCCATTCTCCTCTCGGGATCTTGGGCACGCACGCACACGCGCCCGGCGTGAGATTTAAGCCACCGGGTCCGAGACGCGAACCGCGGTCGACTACGTGGGAGGCCAGCGACATAGCCATTACGCTAACTGCTGGTTCCCGCAAGTTCAGAATTTCTGAAATCATCAAGTGATACCTGGGTTGGTGGAACCAGACTTTTAACAAAGGGCAGTACTAGACCCTAAAAATACAAAACAGGAATTGCAAGAAAAAGGCATACTAAGAATTAAAATAGTGTAAAGAGCACAGTGTTGATAAACTTTAATACAGAAAATCTATTTGATATTTATTAAACTTAGTTTCTCCAGCTATGGTTTGGCATTATACAAAGCATCTTAATGACACAGTAGAGTTAAAAAGATCTTTACAAATTGAAATGTGATACCCTTGTCTCCAAATATTTTAATTGCCATAAATTTGTTTAAAAATACACATTAAACGCATGTTTGACACTCTAAACTTTCTATAATCTCAATACCACAAAATACATATAATATACTATACAGATGTGGAAAAATCTAGTTAGTATATAATACTTTGCTCACCATTAACAGCTTCATTATGTGAAATGCACATACTGACTTAGAAATCCTAGCTTTTGAGCCCCAAAGTACCTCTGAAATTTTAATATATTGCAACAAATAAAAACACAGTATATAATTAAAATTTTGGTTGAAAATGTCAGATGCCCAAATATTTTGGATAAAAGAAATGTAAAAACAAAGATCTGGATCATGTACAAAACAAAGGCATCCTATCAGTCACTAACAGTACCTTTCTGCAGAATCAACAGGCTTTTTAAATTTATTGGTGGCATGACCTCCCTTCCAAAACCCTCCCCAAATATCAAACCATTATTTACCAAATAAGTTTAATTTCAAATAAAAGGATTTTCAATAAATATATAAGCATTTGCATCCTCCATATACAAAACTTCTTAAAACTGTTCAGAAAGGAGGCTAGACAGAAATTTTCCTAACTGTGCTTACCAACCCCATATCTAGCCCTCAAAGGTGGGTGCCTTTTTAGGCACTGCCAATTGAGCCAGCTCTGTTGGTGAGCTCCGTGCTCCCAATCCCAGTACTGTCAAATGCTCATGTCAATGACCTGCCAGGTGTGTGTATAAAGCTGTAAAATGGGGACACTCCTTAAACAGCAACAACGAACTCAACAGTATGGATAACCATGGCATTGACTTAAAAGGCAGCATTTCCAAACAGAAATTCTCCAGAGAGGAACATAGCAGGTAGAAAATTCTAATGGTTAGAAGCCAAAAGGAAATCCCACATGGAAGCAGTTAAGAGGTCAAAACTGAGTATTACTAGAATTTCTGGGTGGGAGCTTTTCCATGCTCATTTAGAGAGCTTTTTGTTTATTTGTTTTTGTCTAAAGAATGGCAGTTATTGTGTAGCTGAGCAATGGTGGCAAGGAGAGGTCAACTGCTGACACTCTTGAAAGTGGACTTCTATGTAGGCTGCTATTTGAGGATACTTAAAGATCTTCATGACTTGGTTTAGATTTAACCCAAACATCTCATTCTGTGCCCTAATTCCGCCGAAAAAAAGAGCTTTAGCTATGCTTTCTTTCCATTCCTTTTTCTAGATAGCAAAAGACGGCAAGTTTTAAGTTAACCATAGGGTTCATATGAGCAGGGACTCGGTAAGATCAGCTATTAATAACTTACTTCCTGTCACTTGCTGGCTTGGTTTTAAGATTTAGAGGTGAATTTGTACATGTGAAAGATATGCTCACAGACATGACCTGGCTGACCTCTTGTCATTACACAGACCAAGCCATTTAAGAATGATCTCTTCTATCGATTTTACAGAATAGCAACCTTTGATGTGCGATGTTATTCTTGGAAAAAAGTCTGCCTCTCAAACACATTAATATGTGAGGTGGAAATTAAATCTGTGTTCCACTTAATTAGGGAATATATGAGTTATAGGAGTCTGTATGGATCTGAAATGTTCTGGCTCCCCAAGTGACTTCGGTTCGTTTGCTTTTAAAAGAAATAATACAATCTGCCTGAAACACTCATCCCCATTAGATGTTCTAGGGATCCAGACACAAACTCCTATATGTCAAAACACCTAATGAGGCCATTTTGTTCAATCAGCAACTGGAAAATTAAAGTCCTTCCCACCCTGTGAGAGCCCTGTCACACTACAGAAGGGCTCAGCTCGAATATATTTTAAAAGTTAATTTACTACAAATCATAGTAATTAAGCTTTAACAATCTAAAGGAATACACATTGCACCCTTGAACATTAATATTCAAGGTGTCAACAAGAAAGTGTCTTAGATCAATTTAATAAATAATGTGGAAATAGTTGCACTAAGCTAAAATACTAAACACACACATTTTTGACAAACTAATTTCATGTTTTCATACATACATACATACATATATATAAAGTGTGTATGTGTACAAATTTTAAGATCCAAAGTTGCATACCCTCTCACTAGAAGAGTGCACCGTGTCTACCTCCTCCACACAGCTAGGCATCACTGGCTGGAGCGATCACGGTTGCTCTGAAACTCCAGAGTTCTGGCCTTTGAGCCAGAACTTTCATTTATAAGAGGTGCCTTCTGTAGGCTCTTGCTCAACAATGCAAGTGCATTCATTAAAAGTTAATGTACCAAAGTTTGTCATTAAATTCAAAATGCTGCTGTCTGATCTGATTAAACCTTTAATGAAAAGAACAAACAACAATTAAAAAACAAAAGAAGTGACTCCAATAAAGCCATAAGCATGTCTTTCAAAGCACAGCCTAGATGCCTATGGATCCACCAGGGTGAGAGCTCCCCAGAAACATAGGCCTTGTGTGGGCATGTGCACACAGTACTCTAAACTGCTTTACACTGGAGAATTCATCAGTGGTAGTGATGAATATATATAGCTGTAAATCTCTCTGAAGTACTTGCTGCTTAAAAAGTCATTTCTTGGCTACTTGCCCAGAAAAAAGTGGCACCAAGGCAAGGAATGGACTGGATGCTCTCCAGCCTGACTGGAGCCAGGGCTGGGCTGTGGAGTCCTGACCACCTAGAAGGGAGTGCTTCTCACACCTCAGCCCATTGTGGGCAAGACAACTATGTCAATGTCATCCCCAGCAAGAGTCCAGTGATGTAGGCTGCTGCCTCCCAGCATAACAAGTGTGGTCGCAGAGTGGTCAACAGGGTAATTTTAAAAATAGTTGCTTACAATTTTTATAATTAATTATATATATTAAGTACAAGTCTCAGACCAGGTAAGTTTTTAGTTTCTTGTCAAATTCAGATTTAAATGGTTAGAAAACAGTGAGGACACCTACTGAGGGAGGAATGGTCACCTGTAAAGGAGTCCAAAGTACATGCTGAAGCAGATGATGCAGACAGAATATCTGAGAGGATGAACACATGGGGAGAAGGAGTGGTATTTTCAGACACTAAAAAGTCAATTATTTAGACAGGATTTTGATCCATTGTCCATTACCACCTTGTGGGAAAAACCCTCTGTGATGAAAAGCTTAAAAAAATTAATTCTCCAAGAATTAACTCAGTTTTAAAGAGAAAATATCTTAGAGCAGCACCATGGAACACGTAGGAAACTCTGCTTTAACAAAACTCCAGTGTGACCCAAATATGCTCCTGCTGCCTTTCAGGACACACAGGAGACTAGAACACACTGGGACTTTGAGGTGCCCACTGGCCGTTGTTACTCAAAGTCTAAAAGGCCAGAGAATACTTCTTGCATTTCTAAGACGTCACTGTAAATTAAGGAATCAGTCAGAGAAACCACAGAAGAACAGGACACACATGTACTTAATTAGCAACAGTGATTTCTTACTAAATAACTATCATGGTGGCTGAGAAGTTGTCCTCTTAAGGAAAATTGCTCCAGGAGCCCACTAAGATGAAATAAGACATCAGAGGCAATTTCTCCTAGGGAAAAAAATTACATTCAAAATAATTTGTAGATCTCAATCTTCAATGATATGTAAAAATAGCATGAGGTACAAAACAGTTAAGCACTATAAATATGAGGCCACAGGACAATGGAAGTTTACTTGCTTCAGAGATAAATGTAAAAGAGACTCAAGCAGAGGAATCAGTGACCTCTGGAGTTGGAGATTTTCTACCCCTTTTCCCCCTTTCCCACTGCAAGGCTTAGCAATCAATTTACACATAGTAGGGCAACTTTTTTTTTCCTTTTCTGATTAGATGAAATTCATATTTGGAATGGGGAGAAGGACAAACTATTTTTGAAGCAGCATTATTATCCAACTGGTTAGACTAAGTCATGTACCAAAGCATTAGCTTTCTTGAAAGAATCTTTATGTAACCCTAAAAAAAGATTTAAAAGGAAAGAGAATTTAACATTATTACTGTAGAAGACCAACCATGTATGGACAATCTGGTCCTAGTGTACAACATTATCTGTAAACAATCCATAGAGTCTTCATTTAAAGGTAAGATTTAAGGCACAACAGACATGATAGGGGCACTAAAAACAAAGTATAGAGGGAACGTTTCTTACCTTTGACTCCTATATGCACCTTGTCAGGAAAGGTACTTTGATATACAACTCTTACAGAGCTGGCTTCTTAAGCTCTACCCCTGCTCCCCTCCCCTTCCCAAGAGAGCTCACACTGAACCAAGTTAGGTACTTTTCTAGTGTAAATTTTCTGATCCCATCAGAAACGTACATCATCGATGAGGGCCTTCATAACACATACAAATGGAGTAAATACAGAGTTTAAAAAGGAGAAATTCATCATCTTTACATCAGGCATTAGAACTGTAAGTTGTATAGCAAAAGCACACACACCAAAGCCCCAGCCCATTTCGACATCAGTCACTGCATGCTCATATCAGGACATCACAATTTGTATGAGATAAAAACCTGAAAGGAGACTTTAAACATTATAAATTAGCGAGACATAGGTGGCAACCCTCTGAAGTTGGATCGTCCTTTTTACAACAGTAACTTATTCTGTTTCAATTAAGGGTTAATTAACAAAGAAAAAGAACACATAGCTTTATAAAATTCATAAAGTTCAAGATTGTCCTTTTATGAAACCCTTCAACTTATATGCTTCTTGTAGAAAGTTTGTCTACCCTCTTTTGTAATGCATTAAATGCAAGTTATAGTCACCTTGTGATTGCGGTAGTGTTATTAACACACATTCACAGTTTTTGAAATAATGCATACCAAATCAGACACATTTAATTTTATATCCATGTAGAAGGCCACCCTCTCATCTGAAGTGATTTTTCATGTGTAGAACTTATATGCTTCTTGTAGAAAGTTTGTCTACCCTCTTTTGTAATGCATTAAATGCAAGTTATAGTCACCTTGTGATTGCGGTAGTGTTATTAACACACATTCACAGTTTTTGAAATAATGCATACCAAATCAGACACATTTAATTTTATATCCATGTAGAAGGCCACCCTCTCATCTGAAGTGATTTTGCATGTGTAGAAGAATATCATTAATACCAAGTATAAGTTCTACAATAACGACATTGTAGGTAAGTCTGAAATAATATCAGGTAGTAGGTATAGAAAGAATATGTCCATATTTTAACTGAACCAACTCTTACTTTTAGAAGAGCTACCACAAAAAGACATTATTAGGTAACAAAGCTCCTAAAGTATATAAATAAAATTGCCTACATTTAATTTATACTAAATATTCAACAGAGTAAATTTATCGACAGAAATAACTAAGTTTTAAACTAGCCCCAATCTGGGAACTTAAAAAAATTTAAATAAATAAAATTTTAATTGATCAGTTATGAATGCAACTGGAATTTCAACCTTATTACAGATCACTGAAACCATCTTATCAATATGCTGCAGATTTAAAAGCATTTAAATAATTTTTCACATTGGGAATACAGAAGGGGTCAATTGACATGATGGCTTTGGGTTATAAAAAATAACAACACATGAACCAAGGAGGAGAAAACCATTCCTCATTCTTAGTGTTGACTAGGTGGCGTGTTATGGCAGTTTTCCTTCGTGATGTGACACAGTGTTGTGGAGAAAATCGGAGGCAACAAGAATGTGTTCAGTTCAAGATATCAACTTGGCATCCTGGCGAAGCCAGTGCAGTCCCTGCCGGGTATAACGAACTAGATCTGTCATGATGCTTGCATTAAAGATGAGAGGGCCCATTACTTTATCCAGTTCAGCAAAGAATTCTAGAAAACCAAAAACATTCATTAAACGATGAATATTCTTTTGAATTCACTACTTTAAAATTTTGAATTTAGACTATCAAACACCCATATTAAGTTAAAAAGCACTCCCCCCCTACAAACACACTACAGTGATTACTATGTTTTAGAATAAATCATCCCATAGTCTCCCATTATATTTGTTACCAAAGTCTTATAACAGTTTAACAAAATGTATGGCCAGAATTAAGTGTTATTTATAGACAAGCACAATTCTACTGACAGAAATTATAGATTGCTAATATCCAGTAAGTATATTAAAACAGAGACCTACTATCAGATTTATTATTTTATTCCTTAAAAAGTTCCCTATATACTTATAGCTGAAAGAAGCACACATACAAACACAAGAGGATGTTCTCTGCAAGCCTGTGAAGTTATAACTGTACTCAAGCTTTTTGCTGTAAATCATATGTACCATGCATGCATCACTGAAAAATTAAATTCCATGTTTTCAGACAGTAGTTTAAAAACTTAAAGAATGAGAATAAAAGGACTTTTGCGTGAACAAATATAGGTTGATGTATATGAGAAGGGAGTGTAGAGGTTAGGTGGGGCCAACAGTATCCTAAGATTTGATCTCAGTTAATTTTGGGAGCAGACAGAGGGACTCAGACACTAACAGGTTTTCAGACTTGCAAGGAAAAAAGGGGTCATTCTCATGATAAAGAACTCATGCTATTTAAACAGGGCCAGGAGTAATTAAACACTTGAGAAGAGTGGGCTCTACTTTTCAGAATTCTAGCTAACAAATGCCCAAGGAATGTCATCAGGATTTTCTATTTCCTAATGGAATGATAGATCTAGTTAAGGATCATAATGTATACTAAAAGCATAACCTATGGTTCACTGGGGAGCTTTAAATTAAATCGGTTAAGTGGATACCATATGAATTAATGTACCGACCAAACTTAACAACACTAACCCGTTACATGCCTCTTAATATGATGCAATAGGAAACCTGGAGCATCATCTGAGAAATGACTTTATCTAAAATATTCAACTGTCTCATCAGGTCTCAAGATTATGACTACCAGTATAAAAAGAACAAGGGGAAAAGAAGAACAAGTTAAGTGACTCTAGGAGGAAGAAATCAGTCAAATCTCAAACAGAACAATTCTGTAACCTAGTTTCTCCTCAACATCAAGAGCATGGCCCAAAAAAAAAAAGTGGAGGAGGGGGAGATACTTAAGAGATTTATCAAAGAAATGCAATCTGTAGACCTTACAGAAATTTAGTTAGAAATAAATCCAACTATTAGGTGGTCAGGAAAGTCAAGATGTATTTTTCTTTTTTTTTTCTTCCACATTTTATTGATTCACAAAATACCTTAAACTAAAACTATGGACAAAGCTAGAATCTAGTTGCAAGTACACTGTAATTTTCTTCTGAAACACTTTAAATTAATTAATTAATTTACATTCATCCCCTGAGTATCATGACAGCATACAAAATGTGATTTCCCATCCAAAATATACTGCACAGTGGCTTAATCATACATGTTATTGTCATTAATTTTCCATGTCTAGTTACATATATATACATGTAGATATATTTTTTACCCCTATTTCTTACCCTCTGCCATTTCCCACCCTCTTCCCACACTATCTTAGGTGTCTACAGTTGTTTTCCATTCCTTTTTTCTTGCACATTTTATTGATTCACAAAATTTCTTAAGTAATCTAACTACTTTCAATAGCAAGTTCAGCTGGTATGTACATATCAGTAAATACATGTTTGACTTTAGGCGTGAAACTCTGAGTAGAATGAATATACAATAAGATAGCACCTAGTGGATGCTATAAAGCTTACTATGGTCATTAAACAGGTATTTTTTAATACATTTTTTTAATTTCAAGAAAAGCAGTTTTAGTTTTAATATATCGAAGAAATGCTAAGGAACTTCGCTTAAAACTTAAAGCCAGGAAACAGGTTAGGGTTCTGTTCAAGTAGGAGGTACATGAACCTATTGGCAGATCAAGGCAGGATAAAAATCCTAAAAACTGGAAAACCCTAGAAGAAAATCAGCAATGTTTTAGTCAAAAATCATACAAAGCTATTTCACCAATTCGATCTCATGTACTTAATCTATCTTCTGTTGTGGTTCGATCTTCCCAATTAAATTCTGGGATATAATATTCAACTCTAGACAAGTCTCTATGATTAAGTTGGCTATTTTCTTAGTTTTTGAATGCTTATTTCTATGTGTCTATATTTAATTTTCCTGATATAGCACTCCTTTGAGAACTTCTTAGCGATCTGGTCTGGGGCTGGTAAATTATTTCAGGTTTTGTGTATCTGAGAATGTTCTTATCTTTTCTTCCAATATGAAGGATAATCTTGCCGGGTATAGTATTCTTGGTTGAAATTGCTTTTCCCTTAACACTTTGAATATATTTTCCCATTCTTTCCTCATTTGCATTGTTTCTGATGAGAGGTCCACTGTTACCCTGATGGGATATCCTTTGTAGGTAACTTGATGTTTCTCTCTTGCTAATCTTAGTACCTTGTCTTTGTCTGTGGTTTTAGTCAATCTGGCTATAATGTGTCTTGGAGAAGATCTTCTTGGGTTGATTCTATTTGGGGTCCTTTGTATTTCTTGGGATTGGATCTTTGAGTGCCTCTCTAGATTTGGAAAGTTTTCTTGCAGGATTTCACGGAATAGACTATCAATGCCCTTATGAGTCTCTTCACCTTCTGGGATGGATACCAATTATCTGGATGTTTGGATGTTAGATGGTATCTAGTATTTCTTGTATATCATTCTCATTTTTTTGGGCAATTTTCTGTCTTCCTGGTGGATATTTCTAGGCCAGCGATTCTATCTTCTACATATGAGATTCGATTTTCTATATGATCTAGTCTGCTTTCAATACTTTCAAGGGAGATTTTGACTTCCTGTATTAAAGCTTTCATCTCTAACAAGTCCATTTGATTCTTTTTTATAGTGTGTATTTCCTTTTTTAGATCTTGCAAGAATTTCCTCACCTCCTAGAATTTGTCGGCTCCTTTCTCCTGTCTCTTCTGCAGTTCACTGTCCCTTTTCTCTTCCATCTCTGTTAGCTTTGTCATTATGAATATTCTAAATTCCTTATCAGACATTTCTACTGTCTGAGGATAAAGACGAGTTATTCTTTTCCCTTGGAGGAGAGGTATTTTCTTGCTTTTCAATATTTCTTGTGATCCTGCAGTGGTTTCTAGTCATCTGATGAATGGTGCGTTTCTTTCTAATTCTTTTTTTTTAATATTTAACTTTATTTATTATTATTATATAATTATTATTTTCCAGTTTGATCAGAGACACAGAGAGGGGGAGAGAGAGAAGGGGGAAATGAGAAAGCAAGCCACCACGTCTGAGACTTGAACCATGGTCGGCCATGTGGGAGTCCAGTGCCTTTAAACACCATGCCACTCGCCGGTCCCATTTCTAATTCTTGAAGTTCAATCTAAACGTTCAGTGGCTTTGCAGGAGGTGATCTGCAATCTCTCTTCTGTTCTGCTTTCAGTCTTTGTGTATCAGATTCAAGGTGAAGAGAGGAATATTCTGACCCTAATCATATTTAGATGTTTAGAGACTCTTTACTTGGACCTGTCTAGACACTTAGTGCATAGAGGCTGATCAGGCAATGAATAAAGATGAAGAAAAAGGAAAAGAAGAAGAAAAAAGATGAAAAAGAAAATGAAAAAGAAAACAGGATCAAAAAATCAGTAAGATTATAATTTTAAAAAGCAAAAAATGAAAAGTGCACACAGCTCAAGTACAGTATACATCTCAGGATAGGCCTGGCTTGGGTTGTGCCTTTCCTAAATGAAGTGAGGAAAGGCACCAATTAACACAATAAAGGAGAGCCCAGAGAAACTTTACCTTAAAAAAAAAATTAAAAGTCACAGGGAGACACAGCAAGACAGAGAGAGACAGACAGAAATGGGAGGAGGAGACACATAGCTATCCCTACCCACTAGAAATGAGTCTAGAGGGAGAAGTCTCAGCAGAAATATCTTCATTTTTGGTTAAGGAAACCAATATTTCACAGTCAAGTATGATATCCATCTCCATATTTTTGTTTCTCATGCAAAAATGTATTATGACTTTTCTGATGACCCAATAACTTAAAAATAAATGTCTATTTGAGACTATAAGGAAAATTTGATTGTAGACTAGTTATCAGATGACATGAAGAAGTTATTGCTATCTTTGGCATCAGTGAAAAAAGTATCATGATCATGTTTATAAAAAGTCCTTATTGGGCCAGCAGGAGGCCTGGTGGTTACAGTGTTGGATTCCCACATGGCCAACCACAGTTCGAATCCTAGACTGGGTGGCTTGAAAATCATGACAAATACATAAAATAAATAAGTAAGTGTTTAAAAAAAAAGTCCTTATCACTAAAGATGCATACCAACATTTGTTCACATGAAATGTCTGTTTCAAATCGCATCTGGTACTTGGTTTGAAATACTCCGTAGAAAAAGAAAAATATGTGAGAGAAACAGTTGGAACAAGACTGGTAAAATGTTGTGTTGTTAAAGGTAAAGTTAAATGAAAGGTATATGGGGTTCACTGTACCATTCTCTGTCCTTGAGTTGATGTTTGAAAATTATACAAAAGATAAAGAAAGAGAAAAAGAGAAGCTACAAAACTGGCATCAGGAAGAAGAATGGAATAAGTAGGCATATCTTAGAGGAATTTCAGTTCTCGAACCTTTCCTGGGCAGTAATGACAATACTTAATTTTTTAGGAACTTTGGTTTTTGGGGCCAGCAGGTGGCAAAGTGGTTAAGGGTGCTGGACTCCCACATGGCTGACTGTGGTTCAAGTCCCGGACCTGGCGGCTTGCTTTCTCACTTTCTCTTCATCTTCCCTCTCCCTCCCCAAGTCAAATTCAAATAAATAAATGTTAAATAATTAAAAAAATAAATAAATGAATTAAAAAACGGAACAAATAAGGTTTTTAAAGGTACAACTTTATGTTAAATGTTGGGGTTCCTCTTCCACCTTTGTCTTATCATTGTCCCTCTTTTAAGGACAGGAATCTTTCATTTTTGTCAGATTACCTGTTCATGCTATGATTATTTAAATGTACTCAGTGATCTGATTGGCTAATTTAGTGCTTTTCTGCAAAAGATCTGCCTAAACAGAAGCTATACACACGTATTTGCTAATAACAACTACTAAAACAAAATGGTGTTTATACAGTATGTTTCCTTGAGATGTTTAAATGCTTTATAATTCTCAATGTCCTTAACTTAGGAGGATAATAAGCTTTAAGGTATAGGTGGTGTGGTGGTTAAGACCCTGGATTCCCACATGGCTGACCACGATTTGAGTCCTAGACCTGGTGGCTTGCTTCCTCACTCTCTTTCTCTCTTTGTCTCTCCTTGGTCAAACTGAGTAATAGTAATAAATAAAATTAAATAATTCTTTTAAAAAATGTCTTTAAAAAATAAATAAAATAAACTTTCAGGTAGAAAGCCTCCAATAACCTAATTTTAAAGAATGCTAAGCAATTATTTGTTTCAGAGTCTCTATTTTTATAGAATGATTTCCTTTTAATTTTATTATTTTTTAATTTGACCGAAGAGAGAGAGAGAAAGAGAAGGGGAGAGAGTGAGAAAGCAAGCCACCAGATCTGGGACTTCAACCATGGCCAGCGTGTGGGAGTCTGGTGCTTTAACTACCACATCATCTGCTGGCCCCTTATAGTCTCTTTTATCGCATACATTTCTTCTAATATACCTAAAAATCCAGATGTACAAGATGTTCGAATATAATCCTGTGACTATAGTCAAATGTACTTGTTAATTATTCCAGAGTAGGGCATATATTTTATTACTTTCATAGTATAAATTTAGTATATACTTAAACATATAAATAAATTTCTATTTTACAGTATTAATATAGTATATTTTTAAAAATTATTTTTTATTTAATTTTATTTTTTAAATTTTGACCAGAGAGGGACAGAGAGAGAGAGAGAGAAAGAGAGAGACGGGGAGAGAGAAAGCAAGCTGCCAGGCCCAGGAATTGAACCATGGTTGTCCATGTGGGAGTCCAGCACCCTTAACCACCATGCCACCTGCTAGCCCCAATATAGTATATATTTAATGTGCCAGGACAGAGGCATATTTGTAATAGACCCAGAACTATTTTTAGTTTAGTTTGTATCACTAGTATCATTAATACTTTCTGAACAAATTCAGTAATATTTCACATGATTGCTAAACAATGTAGATTATTAACTAACTGATTATCATTAACTCTAAACTGGTAATAAAGTAAATACAAACCAGATACATATTTAACTAAATCATAAAAGTTACTTGTAACAATCATTCTACCTCTCAGAGACTTACTTACCTTTTTGCTCTTTGGAAAGCTGTTCAGCTTGGTCCCAAATTTCTGTGGCATAGAGGAAGTTGGATGTAACCTGAACATAGCTGGCTGCCATCTGGTGGATCTTCTGTGGAATAGTCACTGAAGAACCACTTGCTGAAGCACTACTGGCCCCAGAAGAATAATTTCCTGAATTGCCTGGCGACAGCTTTGGAGAAACGGGAGAAGGCATCCCAACAGCTTTGCTACAAAAAGAGAAACAGGAAACCTGTTCATATTCACATGGTGAACGTTTCTCATGTAGGTTCTTCCTACAATGAGGCTTAAAATTTAAAGTGGCTTTTTTTTTTTTTAAGAGAGATTTTTGCTCACCAAAGATGCTTGTGTTCACTTAAGAGACAAAGAGAGACAGAAAGTGAGAAATCGCCCCCCGGGAGGATGGCCATGCTACAATCCCTCCTCTTCCATTCTCCTCAGGATTTTGGGCATGTGTGTACATGCATCCAGTTTGAGTTTCAACTGCGGAGTCTGGGCCTTGAACTGTTGTCAACTACATGGGAGTCCAGCGACGTAAGCATTATGACATCTGCTGGTCCCTAAAGATTCTTTTAAACTAGAAGTATCATTTCTTTTAAGTAAGTACTAAAGACCATTGTGAATTATAATCATATCTAGACCCTTTGTTTTAATAAATGGCAACACAGCAAGAGAAGAGAGATAACTGAAGACACACATCATTTTACTGCATTTAAAAGACTTGGATGTCAGATTCCTTCACGATCTGCCCAACAAACTTTCCATCTGTTCAGACATACAACTTATGCTGCTGTTTTTTAAAAAATTTGCTATGGGAGGGTGTGATTGTTGGGGTGGGTGGGGTGGCAGTGGTGGTGGTGGTGAGAAAGCACCCCTCGGGGGGGTGGCCATGCCACAATCCTTTCTCCTCTTGGAATTTTGGGCATGTACACACATGTGCACCCAAGATGTTTTTCAAGCCACTGGGTCTGGGACTACAACAGCATAGTCAACCATGTGAGATACAACTGCCTTAACCACCATGCCACCACCAGCTGGCCCAAATTTATGTATTTTTAAAATTTTCTTTATTTCTTCTGTAAAGAGAGAAATAAATTGTGCAAGAGTACATACACATTAGAGCCCCAACAGGGTCTTATCACTGCAGCCCACCTCTAGTCTTCAGCCAATCTGATCGAGGCACACATGTACCGCTTGTACTTAGGAAGGTGTCTGGATTTAAATCTTTTTTTTTCTTTAAAGAATTATTTTATTTAACTTTTTATATATATATTTTTCAATTTGACCAGATTGAGAGAGAAAGAGAGAGAGAGGGAGGGAAAATGAGAAAGCAAGCCACCAGGTCAGGATTCAAACTACAGTTGGCCGTGTGGGAGTTCAACGCCCTTAACCACCACGCCACCTGCTGGCCCCCTGGATTAAAATCTTAAACCTCCCCATGTGAGACTGCCTCACAGTGATGTGTTTTACTGCTGTGCTATAGTCTGGTCCCTAATGATGTATTTTTTAAATTGTTTCGTAGAAAGCTGGTTGGATGAAATTCTTATTTAACTTCCCCAAAAACTGTGGTAGTAAGGACTAGCCAATGGCATGGTGGTTAAGGAGGCTGAACTTGCACGGTCAATCATAATTCAAGTCCTAGACCCTGTGGCTTGAAAAATCATGCAAGATACCCAAGTGTGTGCCCAGAATCCCAAGAGCAGAATGGAGAAGGGAATGCAGTGTGGCAATACCCCAGGGGGTGATTTCTCAGTTTCCCTCTCTCTGGCAAGCACATGCACCCTATGGAAAAACCCTGACAAAAAACAGGGGCCAAGAGGTGGTCAACTGTAGCTTGAGTGCCAGATCCAGTGGCCTGAAACTCACGCTGGGCACGTGTGTGTGTGCCAAAATTCTGAGAGGAGAATGGAAGAGAAGGTATTGTGTGGCATGGCCATCCCCCAAAGGGTGATTTCTTGCTGTCTATCTCTGTTTCTTAGGTGAGTGCAAGCACTCCATAACAAAAATCTCTCAAGAAAAAAACAAATACAAAACTTAATCCATCTATAATTATGTTTACCCATATTTTTAGTCATAACAGTAAAAGAAAAAAACTTGTAAACATATATCATTAGAGATTATTTTCATTTTTTTAAAAAGTAGCCATCTTTACATTTTTGGAAACTGGGCCCTACCTCTTCTACTTTTTCATTATAAAAATATGAACTTGTCACAAGTAATATTTTATAGAACAAAACTTTACCTACCTTCCCAAACCAGGTGATGGTGCTTGAGAATTATTATAAGAATTCTGTGGGAAAAAAAAAAAGTACCTAAACAAATGAAAATACTCCTTGTGTAGTGCTGTATACATTCAAAAGCTTTGGGCTAAAAGCTGATCTTAAGAAGCTTTATAAATTTAAGACATGAGAGTGTTTGTGTGTGTGTGAATGTACAACAGAAAGAACTTGTTGGGGAAGAGCTGGGATGTCCTGGAAGACCTCACTGAAGAGGCAAGAAGAGAATGAGTGACACTCAGATGGATAAAGGAAAGGGGAGAAGGCATTGTGCGGTGGGTCAGACCGTGTAGAGAGGCTGCAGGAAGAGAGGACGTTACATGACCCATAGTTTCTCATCATTTTTAAGTTTGCCAAAAGCAGATATTTGGATAAGGAACAAGTAAGAGAACTTGAAAGGGTGCAGGTCAGGATAATGCGTTTGAATTAATCCTCTAGGCCATAGTAAGCTACTACGGGATTCCAAGTTATGACAGAAGGGTTTTGGGAGGATTTGTATGATGCCGTTAGCTTGAAAAAAACACAGGAAGACATTTTAGAAAATGAAGATAATAGTCTAAATTTCTAAAGAGGATGATAGTGAAAACAAAAATAATTTTAAAACAATATTATAGCTTTGTAGGGATACCTAAATTTTAGCATCGATATTTGTGCATTTAAAAACCATTAGAAGAAAACTTGAACTTATTTGAAAGTTCCCAAATACTAGCTCTTCCCTTGCTGTGTTTTACCTAAATATGAGGACTCTTTTGGGGTAGGGGAGGAAGACTGCAAGTTTTGGCTCTTAGAAAAAAGACCCTACTCTTTTGCACACTTACCTTCAGGTGCTCTGTCAGCATCTTTGAGTACTTCAGAGCATTTTCCTTCTTCAGTTTGAATAGCCTCAGGTACAGCAAAGACTGGCATCGCAGGCTAGCCAATGGAAAAGGGCAGCTTATTTACCAGGACAGCAGGTTCTGACCACATCTACACAGATAACCTTTGTACTGCACAAAAGTACAGGACTGGCCTGTGTAAGCAGACCATGTTTTAAGGTCAGCAACACTAACCCTCAGGAAAAAGCAAAGATGTGCTCTTAGTGTGGGGAAGTGTGTTCTATAGAGGGGAAAATGGCTAAAAAACCTAGGACTAGATTCAGAGTGACATATGCGTTAAAAATGGCTAAGGTGCATAAATTCCATACCAAATTATAAATAATACAAATTAAATAACAAAAAAACAGGCAAAAACCATGAACATTACATGTTGGATGGAACATATAAACCTTAACATGACTTATGCAGGCTCTGCATGATCATGCCTGTCCACTCTCCCAGTCACGTGCACTGCTCGCTAGTCTTCTTAGCGTTCCTTCTAAATTTCCTGCTCCTTTCCAGCACCCAGCTGTTGTACATGTTCTTTCTACCTGGAGAATGGCTCCCTACACTCTAATCTCAGAGTTATTTATTTTTGCTTCAAAGTACTCAACTCATACTATGTGATTACTGGGTTAATTTCTGTCTCTTTATGCTCAACTATCAACTCCATCCCAGTCAGTTTTACCCTTAGTTGCATTCCCAGTGTTAAAATACAGTGTCAGGTAAAGTAAATATCTGTAACAAATAAACTGGGGCCAGGAAGTGGCATGGTGGTTAAGGTACTGGACTTCCACATGGTTGATTATGATTCGAGTCCTGGACCTAGCAGCTTGCATTCTCACTTTCCCTTTCTCTCTCTGGTCAAATTAAAAATTAATAATGATAATTAAAATAAAATAAATACTTCTTTTAAAAAATAAACTGATAATATCTCCCTTGGACAATGCAAATAAGTTAAATCCCTTTTTTTTTTTTTTTGTAATTAAGGGCAAACTCCTTAAGGTATATATGTAAATGATCAGAGACGGTACCAAAAGAACAGCCTGGAGAGCAACTACACGAAGGTTCTCAGGTCAGTCCACCCTAACCCTAACAAGGTTTTCATCAAGAGGACCAGAGACTGATGATAATCCAAATCTCTTAGCAGGAATTTCAAGTTACTACTTGCTTGACCCATCAAGAACAGATTTATGACAGCATTATGAAAGATTCAAGCATAACTTTTAGAAGCGCACACAACACACTGTATTATGAAACTGCCTGTTATCTAGCGGAGACTAGAACATCCAACACTTACCAAAGTACTGTGAGTCTTTTATCTGCAGCTGTGGCATCTGGTGCCAAGTAATTCTTTAGCTTCATGGTGTATCTATGAGTTAAAAACAAATAACAAACATAATATAATACTTCATCTGGACCTTATGACTTCCTTTGTCCTCAAAACATCAGTATCAAACAAAAAGGCAAAAATATGCACTGAAATACATGGTTCTCTTTAACCAAGGACAACAAAGAATTAGCATCCTCTTTGGTTTAGTGTATACAGTTATATTAGCCCCAATCAAATAAATAATGTTATTGACAAGTGTTTCCACTTACTTGATGAGCTCTGCTGTCTCTGAATACATAGGGAATGGGGATTTGGATTCCTGAGCATTTTTCTCTAATGCATTCCCACACTCAATGAAAGACACAACAGCATCAAGATAGTATACCGCTTTCTCAAACCTATCAGACTGAAGAAAGGAGAATACAAGTAGTGAGCAGTGATCTACAACGGGGACAAATGACAAGTAAGGATTTAAGTTAGTAAGATTAAATACATAAATGTAAAAAGAGAATATTTACATACCAATGCATCTGCATTGTGCTTTAGCTTTTTTGCTTCTTGTAAATAATGGTCTGCTGAATAATTTCTGCAATGTAAATTTTCATTGTCAATAAAATGGTAAATATTTTCATACGACAATGCTAGTTCATTTCAGTCTAGTTTTCCTGCCCTCATCAAGTAAACAAAATAAGCTAATACTAAACATTTGCTTGCTTATTTTTTCAAAGAATTATTTTTATTTAACTTTATTTATTATCTTTTTTTTTTACTTGAAAGATGAGAGAGAGAAGGCAAGTGAGAAAGCAAGCCATTAGGTTCAGGACCCAAACCATGGTTGGCCATGTGGGAGTCCAGCACCCTTACTATGCCACCTGCCGGCCTTTGTTTCTGTTTAGGCTGCTAAAAGCTTATATCAGAGTAAAAGTATGAATTGTTTTGGCCAACTTATGGCAAATCTTTGATTTAAGAAAATAGAAATCAAGGGCCAGCAGGTGGCTTAAGGCACTGGACTCGTACTTGACTGACTGATGTTTGAGTCCTAACCCTGGCGGCATGAGAATCATGCTGGGCACCTGTGTGTGCATACCCAAAATCCTGAGAGAACAGATAAGGTCTGTAGCATGGCCATCCCCTTGAGGGGGTGACTTCTCACTTTCCCTCTCTCTCTTCACAATACCCTAAACAATGCAAAAAACTAAAAGAATTTAATAATTAAAAAAAAGGAAACAATAAAAATACAAGAAAGATTGAGTAATGTGGGTAGGAGAAATAATTAAAATAGAGAAAAAAGGCACTGCTCTTTCTTATCTAAGGAAATCCCTATTTTAAACAGTGATAGCAACAGATCCACTAAAAAAGCACAGTGCTCACATCTCCCATGAAAATCAAGGCGTTAAGGGAGCACTACTTGGACTAGTGGGTACCTTTCATATTAAAACCTGAATATGCTAGATAACACACAGATCCTCATCCTCTGGTTACTGATACAAATTTAAATGAATTTCTTTTATGTCAACTGGAAACATTTCTAAAATGCATTTAAAAAAATTCACTTTTCTCTCACCTGTCATCAAAGGCAAGCTTTGTTCTTCGAGGCTTAGAAGCTTCAGGAGTTGGTGTAGATGGAGGACAGGTGGAGGAACTATGTGAAGCCTTTTCCTGACCCAAAAAATATATAACTACATTAACAACTGTGAGGAGAATAAAAATTAAACAGTGTTTTTAGCCACTGGTAAAAAGGAAATAAAGTTTCACTGCCTTCAGTAACTAATTTATCTGTTACAAAACTTTTTTCAAGAATTACTTATTATCATTATTTTTCAATATTTACGAGAGAGAAAGAGAAAGAAAGTCACCAGGTCCAGGACTCGAACTGTGGTCGGCCATGTAGGAATCTAGCGCCTTTTTACTACCATGCAACCTGCCAGCCCCTCTTTGATATAAAACTTTTATAGATTTCATAATGTAAACTTTGTTTTATAAAATGCGTACAATTCATGTAACCTCCAAAATGTTCATTCTAATATTTACTAAAGGTCTACTATGTGCCAGGCACTGGCTTAGGCACTTCTTAAAATGTAAGGAAGCCATAAACCTAATATCAAAATGGCACCACTAGGGCAAAACTTACTGATAATTAATTGCCAAGGAACACAAAAATGGTAAATAATATCTAATGTTTACTGTGTGCTTACTACTTACCAGGCACTGGGTTAACTAAGTACTTAGCACAGTCACTAATCCTTCAATAATCCTATGAAATACAAAATGCTATTAGGTCAAATAATAAAGCAATCTCAAGGAGATTGAATAACCTGCCCAAGTTTGAACAGCATTTAAGTAGCATTTCTAGGATTTGAATTTTAAATTAAGATTCTATCTGACTTCAAAAGCCTAGTCATTTTCTTAAACTTTATTATTCCTGCCATCAACATGTCTATTCTGCACCTTATCAGCATAGGCCTTTAAGCAAGGGATATGATCCTTTTTCTTTCTAATCACCTCTATTTTTAATAAAATGAAAAACACATCTTCCCATAATATAATCACATAAACAAGAAGAGTTTATTTCATGAAGGCATGGATGTTTAAACACTAGAAAACCTAGTACTATCAGGTTGGTGAAAAAACAACTGCAGTTTTGGACTGTGATTTTAAATCATATAGGTTGAAACACATTTTTATTCATCAAAATAAGAACCATTACAATCAATACGTTTTTTGCCAACAAGAAATGTTTGTTTATTCCTGTAGCGTAAAAATCCACGCTTCAGAATTTGACAGATTATTGGAAAGTATCTTTTGCATCTCGCTGGTTGTGAAAAGCATTTTCCCTCGGGAACCAGCAGTTAGCCTAATGGCTTTGTCGCTGGACTCCCACGTAGTTGACCACGGTTCGTGTCCTGGACCCAGTGGCTTAAAACTCATGCCGGGCGCGTATGCGTGCATGCCCAAGATCCCGAGAGGAGAATGAAGGAGAAGGGATTGCGGTGTGACCATCCCCCCTGGGGGGTGATTTCTCACTTTCTGTCTCTCTGTCTCTGTCCATCTGTCTGGTGAGCGCACGTTCCCTATAGCGAAAAACTCTCCAAACATTTCAGTTAGGCAAAAAGTTGTCAAGATGCTTGAAGAAGTGGCAGTTGGTGAGAGATCAGGTGAATACAGTGGATGCAACAAAACCCCATAGCCCAATTCGTTCAACTTTTGAAGCATTGGTTGTGTGATGTGAAGTTGGGCGTCCTAGAGAACTGGGCCCTTTCTGTTGACCAATGTGGCTGTAGGCACTGTAGCTTTCAGTGCATTGCACGGATTTGCTGAGCTTCTCAGTGGTAATGGTTTCACTAGGATTCAGAAAGTTGCAGTGGATTAGACTGGCAGCAGGTGGCCAAACACTGACCTTGACCTTTTTTGGTGCCAGTTTGGCTTTGGAAAGTGTCTTAGAGCTTCTTTTTGGTATAACTACTGAGCTAGTTGTCAGATAAAATCCACTTTTTGGGGACCAGCAGTCAGTATAATGGCTATGTCACCAGACTCCCATGTAGTAGACCACGGTTCAAGTCCCAAACCCAGTGGCTTAAACTCATGCCAGGCATGTGTGCGTGCGTGCCCAAGATCCTGAGAGGAGAAAGGAGAAGGGACTGCGGTGTGACCATCCCCCCTGGGCGGTGATTTCTTGCTTTCTGTTTCTCTCTGTCTTTCTGATGAGGGCATGCACCCTATAGCAAAAACCTTTCCAAAAAGAAAAATCCACTTTCTGTCCCATGTCACAATCTGATAAAGAAATTCTTCACTGTTGTTACACAGAATATGAGAAGATGACACTTGAAAGTGATGATTTTTAATCAGTTCGTGAGGCACACACTCATTGAACATTTTCACCTTTCCAATTTACTTCACAAGCCAAACAACTATAGAAATGGTCGACACTGAGTTCTTCGGCAACTTCTCATGTAGATTTATGAGGATCAGCTTCGATGATTGTGATGACTACTCTCAATAGGTCGCTGTCAACTTCCGATGGCTGGCCACTATGCTCCTCATCTTCAAGGCTCCCGTCTCCTTTACAATACTTCTTTTTTTTGGAGAGTTTTTTTTTTTTTTTTTGCTATAGGGTGTGTGCGCTCACCAGATAGAGAGAGACAGAAAGACAGAAAGTGAGAAATCACCCTCTAGGGGGGATGGTTACGTTGCAGTCCCTTCTCCTCCATTATCCTCTCAGGATCTTGGGCACACATACACACGCGCCCAGCGTGAGTTTAAGCCGCTGGGTCTGGGACTCGAACCGCAGTCGACTACGTGGGAATCCAGTGACATAGCCATTATGCTAACTGCTGGTCCCTCCTTTACAATACTTCTTGAATCACCACTGCACTGTATGTTTGTCAGCAGTTCTGAGCCAAATGTGCTGTTTATATTTTGAGTTGTATCTGTTGCTTTAGGACCCAGTTTGAACTCAAAAAGAACGCCACTCTAATTTGCTTTTTGTCTAACATATTTTTCATAGTTTAAAATAAATATAAATAAACAGCAAATAGTAAGTCACTAACAAAAAAAAATGAGAAATGTGCATTAAAATGATGTATGACATAACCACATTTAAGAATGTACCCAATATCAATAAGTAAATTTCAACAATGTAAAAACTGTAATTACTTTTGCACCAACCTACATAATACATAATTTCATTGTTTGTGATTAAAATCTATTTAAAAGGGGGGCTGGCAGATGGTGTGGTGGTTGAGGGCGCTGGACTCCCACATGGCTGGCTGACCACGGTTCAAGTCCCGGCCCTGGCAGCTTGCTTTCTCACTTTCCCTTTCTCTCTTTTTCTCTCTCTCTCTCACTCTGTTCCTCTCTGGTCAAATTAAAATAAATAAAGCTAAAAAATTCTTTTAAAAAAACAACATTATTTTTTAAATCTATTTAAAAGGACCCATGTAATATTTTTTTTCCTTACACGAGAAGAGTTTTTTTGGTTCTATTCATTACAGTTTATTCTAAAGAATGAAACTGAAATTCCCAAATTTGAGAAAATGCTAAGTTCTTTATCGTAAAGTTTGCATAATTATGGAATGGCTCCTTGAAAATTATGCTATAGTCTGACACTACTAGGACAGCTTTCCTTCTGTTTTATAAACAGGCCAATAAGTGCCTAAGTTTAATTTTTTGAGGAAAACTTAAGTTTTCTGAAAAATATAAAAATTTTCCTCCAAGTATTTTGACACACTTTTTTATATAAAAATTACACATAATTTTGGTTTTCCAGATTATCTCAATTTTCTTTAGGTGATATAATAAGAAAACAGCATATTTTCTAACTAAACTACAGATTTTTTTTTTCATAAACCTATATGCAATTGCTGAAATTGGAAACTGCCAAGACTAACTTTAACAACTTTAACAACCGTTAAGTGCCATAAGATCTTGAAATTGAACTTCAAGTTTAGGAAGAAAAACACCATCCATCAGATGACTAGAAACCACCCCAAGGGCCACAAGAAATATGGCCAAGCAAGAAAATACCTCTCCTCCAAGAGAAAAGAATAGCTCCTCTTCATCTACAGACATTGCAATGGAAATCATAGAAATGTCTGATAAAGAATTTAGAATATTCATAATGGCAAAGCTAACAGAGATGGAAGAGAAGAGAGACAATGAACTGCAGAAGAGAAAGGAGATGACGAGTTCCAGGAGGTGAGGAAATTCTTGCAAGATCTATAAGAGAAATTACACACTTTAAAAAATAATCAAATGGACCCATTAGAGATGAAGGCTATAATACAGGAAGTCAAAATCTCCCTTGAAAGTATTAAAAGCAGACTAGATTATACAGAAAACAGAATCTCAGATGCAGAAGAGAAAATTGCTGACCTAGAAAAATCCACCACGAAGACTGAGAAAATTGCCCCAAAAATGAGAGTAATATACAAAAAATACTAGATACCATCAAACGTCCAAACATCCAGATAATTGGTATCCCAAAAGGCAAAGAGACTCATAAGGGCATTAATAATCTATTCCATGAAATCCTACAAGAAAAATTTTCAAACCTAAAGAAGCACTCAAAGATACAATCCCAAGAAATACAAATAACTCCAAATAGAGTGAACTCAAGATCTTCTCCAAGACACATTATAGCCAGATTGACCAAAACCACAAAGACAAGATACTAAGATTGGCAAGAGAAAAACGGCAAGTTACTGACAAAGGACATTCCATCAGGCTGTGCTTGCTATTGAAAATATTTAGATTAATTAAGATCTTTAGTGAATCAATAAAATGTGTGTGAGGGGAAGGCACAGAAAACAACCATGGATACCAGAGACAGTGTGGGAGGAGGGTGGGAGATGGCAGAGGGTGAGATAGGGAATCAAGGATGGGGAAAAAAGCAAATTATTTGTTGATGATAATATGTATGCTGATGTGCTTGATTGAGCCAATATATAGTGTATTCTCGATGGAAAATCTCATTTTGTGTGCTATAATGATGTATACTAAATGAAGGTAAATAAATAAATTTAAATAATAAATAAATTAATTAAATTAAAAAAAACAAAACAAAACAAAAAACAAGCGCAGAGGCTTCAAACCTCACAGTTAAAAGATGGAAAATGTAGAAAGAGCCAGTCAGCAAGTAGAACTGCATCAGTAAAGGGCACTAAGAGAACAGTCAAGATCCTTAGGACACAAGGGCCAACTCTCTAAAAACTATGAAAGAAAGGTGTTTAGCTAAAGAAAAGCCTTTGTATAATATCTGTTTGAAAACTCGTTCATAATTAAAATTACTTTAATTTTTAAAAAATTACCACATTTACTAAGTACAAATAACAGTCGTTAGCAGTCTTTTTCACTGGCAAACGCACACGCCCTATAGCAAAAACCTCTCAAAAAAAAGAAAAAAAAAGAAACATGCCAGAATAAAACGCACAAGCCCATCAATTTAATGAGATGTTTATAAAGATTTCAGAAGAGTGTCACCTTGGAGAAGTCACATAGCAATGAGAGAGTAATTCTCAAAATCAGCCAATACCTTACCTTAACCTCCTTGGAGCTACTGGAAGTCTTCCCTTCAGTCTTCTTCTGCTTAGATGTAGAGGAACTACTCTTGCTGCTGCCACTATTCTCCTTGTTGCTGTTGCTGCTTGACTTTAAGGAAGAAGACTGACTAACTGTCCTCTTCCGAGAGCCATGCTCTGGCTTCGGCTCTTTTGAAGGAACAGGCCCAGCGGGAGAAGGCAGCAGGTCCTTTTCTTTCGCAGCACTCTGCTTAGACGACCTGTCAACCCAAACAAATGCCCTCAGTTTTCTACATGGTAATATAAAAGTAATGACTTTTTCCATTTCTTTGCCTGCTTTCCAGACAAATCTGTTTTCCCCCATTTCATTACTGAGCACATGATCACTATAAAACAAAATAAAACTAAATTTCATAAAGGTAGGTATGTTGTCTGTGTTTTTTTAATGGTTGTTTATCTGATTCCTAAAACATGACCTGCCACACAGTAAGTACTCAATAAATATTGGCTGAGTAAGCAAACTGATGAATGGTGAATAAAGAGATGCCAGGTAGCAATAAGTCACCATCTAACCAAGAAGTGGTCAATTTTTACTTTCTTACCCAACACTCACCCTTACCCCACTAAAAAAAGAAGAGGAAGAGTAACTAAATCATTTTTTTCTTTTTAGTTTCAAGAATTATTTATTTATTTAATTCTATGTGAAAACAAGCGCAGAGGCTTCAAACCTCACAGTTAAAAGATGGAAAATGTAGAAAGAGCCAGTCAGCAAGTAGAACTGCATCAGTAAAGGGCACTAAGAGAACAGTCAAGATCCTTAGGACACAAGGGCCAACTCTCTAAAAACTATGAAAGAAAGGTGTTTAGCTAAAGAAAAGCCTTTGTATAATATCTGTTTGAAAACTCGTTCATAATTAAAATTACTTTAATTTTTAAAAAATTACCACATTTACTAAGTACAAATAACAGTCGTTAGCAGTCTTTTTCACTGGCAAACGCACACGCCCTATAGCAAAAACCTCTCAAAAAAAAGAAAAAAAAAGAAACATGCCAGAATAAAACGCACAAGCCCATCAATTTAATGAGATGTTTATAAAGATTTCAGAAGAGTGTCACCTTGGAGAAGTCACATAGCAATGAGAGAGTAATTCTCAAAATCAGCCAATACCTTACCTTAACCTCCTTGGAGCTACTGGAAGTCTTCCCTTCAGTCTTCTTCTGCTTAGATGTAGAGGAACTACTCTTGCTGCTGCCACTATTCTCCTTGTTGCTGTTGCTGCTTGACTTTAAGGAAGAAGACTGACTAACTGTCCTCTTCCGAGAGCCATGCTCTGGCTTCGGCTCTTTTGAAGGAACAGGCCCAGCGGGAGAAGGCAGCAGGTCCTTTTCTTTCGCAGCACTCTGCTTAGACGACCTGTCAACCCAAACAAATGCCCTCAGTTTTCTACATGGTAATATAAAAGTAATGACTTTTTCCATTTCTTTGCCTGCTTTCCAGACAAATCTGTTTTCCCCCATTTCATTACTGAGCACATGATCACTATAAAACAAAATAAAACTAAATTTCATAAAGGTAGGTATGTTGTCTGTGTTTTTTTAATGGTTGTTTATCTGATTCCTAAAACATGACCTGCCACACAGTAAGTACTCAATAAATATTGGCTGAGTAAGCAAACTGATGAATGGTGAATAAAGAGATGCCAGGTAGCAATAAGTCACCATCTAACCAAGAAGTGGTCAATTTTTACTTTCTTACCCAACACTCACCCTTACCCCACTAAAAAAAGAAGAGGAAGAGTAACTAAATCATTTTTTTCTTTTTAGTTTCAAGAATTATTTATTTATTTAATTCTATGTGTTATTATTATTATTTTTAATTTGACCGGAGACAGAGACAAAAAGAGAGAGAAAGGGGAAGTGAGAAAGTAAGCCACCAGGTCCAGGACTCAAACTGTGGTTGGCCATGTGGGAACCCAGCACCTTTAACTACCACGCCACCTACTGGCCCCAAAAGTAACTAAATCTTCAATGCTTTCCATCACTATCCCCTAAAGAAAAAGCTCCCATTGTTTGCTATATGTATGCATGTGCATGTCATATGTCACATTCACTTATTCAAAGCAACATTCTGAGTACATGGAAAAAAGTAACTAATATCAATTTATATACATGTGCTAACAACACTGGCATGCAACATGGTTGGGGGACATACTCTCTGTTGCTGGATGGCTTGTGGCCGGCTGAATTCTTGTCCTCCGTTTTGGGCTTCTTGCTCTCATTCGCTCGGTTATCATCCTCATTCTGGATATAAAACAGAAAAATAGCAGCTACTAGGTCTTGTTTTTATTCATTTACATCCAGCTTCCAGCATTAGTCATCCCAAATTAATTACTCCTTATAAAACTTCAGAAAGAATATTAATGAGAAGTGAAAGAGTTCTTTTAAACAATGTTCAATAAGTTAGATTTTAAGACTGAGAAGAGGTCTCTTATTTTACATACACAGAACCCAAATACTGAAATAGATTTCCTTCAGTCTTTAGATGGCATCTTTATTTTTAAAAAATAATTATTTTACTTAACTTTATTTATTTGTTAATTTTTAACTTGACCAGAGAGGGACAGACAGAGAGAGAGAAAGTGAGAAAGCAAGCCGTCAGGTCTGGGACTCAAACCGCTGTGGAAGTCCAGTATCCCCAATCACCATGCCACCTGCCGGCCCCAAGATGATATCTTTTCAATGTAATGATTTGGAGGGGGGAGGGGTATAGTTCTGAAATTATAATTAAGATATAATTCAAATGCCATAAAATTCATTCTGAGAGAAGGGATTGGGGCATAACTATCCCCCTAGAGAGTTATTTCTCACTTTCTGTCTTTCCAGCAAGCACCCTATAGCAAAAATCTCTCTCAAAAATAAATAAAAAAATAAAACTACTTAAAAAAAAAAAAGGGACCAGCAGTCCGCATAACGGCTATGTTGCTGGACTCCCATGTAGTCAACAATGGTTCGAGTCCTGGACCTGATGGCTTAAACTCACTCCGGGCGCATGTGTGTGTGTGTGTGTGTGTGCCCAAGAACCCAAGAGGAAAATAGAGAAGGGACTGAGCATGGCCATCCCCCTTGGGGGGTGATTTCTTGCTTTCTGTCTCTCTCTATCTCTTTCTAGTGAACACACGCGTCCTATTGCAAAAACCTCTCAAAAAAAAAAAAAGAAATTTATCATCATTATTATTTTTGTTTAAATTTGCTACAGGGCATGAGAGAGAAAAAGAAAGTGAGAAAGCAAGCTTCCAGGTCTAGGACTCAAACCGTGTTTGGCCATGTGGGAGTACAGCACCATGACCACTATGCTACCTGCTGACCCCAATTTACATGCTTTATTTTTATGGATTTGCCCATTCTAGACATTTAATATAAATGAAATCACTCAACATGTGTGGTCTTTTGCATCTGGCTCTTTCCTCTTAGCATAATATTTTAAGATTTTATCAGTGTTGTAGCTTAGATTAGTACTTCATTCCATTTACAACTGAATACTATGCCACTGTATGGACTTACCAAGTTTTATTTACCCATTCTCCAGCTGATGAAAATCATATGAGTTGTCTCCACTTTTTGGCTAATGTAAATAATGCTCCTATACAAGTTTTTGTGTGGACATGTTTTCATTTCTCTTGGGTATATGAGTACAGATGCTAGGTCATAAGGCTAACTCTAAGCTTAATTTTTTGAGGAACTGCCAAACTGTGTATTGAAGCAGCTGCATCATGTTACATTCTATTGACATTTAAGTTCCAACTTTTCTTTACCAACACTTGTTATGGACCACCCTTTTGATTCTAGCTGAGACTATTCATTTTTTAAAAACTTCTTGGCCAGATGGTGGGCCTATGTGTTGCCAATGTTATTTTCCTACATGAATCTAAATTTTCCTATGGCTTAAAATGTTAGGCCAGAGGAATGCAACTATTCTGCCATAAAAAGTGTATGTTCTGGGGACCAATAGGTGGCGTGGCGGTTAAGGGTGCTGGACTCCCACATGGTTGACTGTGATCTCAGTCTCGGACCCGGCAGCTCGCTTTCGCACTCTCTCACTCTGTCCCTCTTTGGTCAAGTTAAAAAAAAAAAAAGTGCATTCCCCTACACAAATGATTAAAGATGGACAATAGAAAATGAGAGAAAAAGGAATCAACATCCTTCATTATCCTCATCTGGGTCAGCACTTCTCACTTTATCATCAATAATTGCTTCAGATGCTTTATTTAACCAGACCTGTGGAATTCTTTTTTTTTAATTTTAAAATGTATTTATTTAATTCCATTTGTTATTATTAGTTTTTAATTTGACCAGACAGAGAAAGAGAGAGAAAGAAAAAGGGAAAGTGAGAAAGCAAGCCGCCAGGCCCGGGACTTGAACTGTGATTAGCCATGGGGGAAAACCTGGCACTTTTAACCACCATACCACCACCTGCCGGCCCCCAAAGCCGTAAATTTCAAAAATAATTGAATTTCCTGGTGGTGTACATTTTATAAAATAAAAATGTGATGTACTGGTGTAAAAAGCTTTGAAGAAATACATGCAAATAAGGTATGAAGAAGGGGAGGAGATATGTTGTACTTCTTTTGGAGAAAGATTTTTTTTTTAAAGAAATATTTTGCTATAGGGCACATGTACTCACCAGAGACACAAATAGATGGAGAGACAGAAAGCAAGAAACCATCCCACAGGGGGATGGCCATGCCACAATCCCTTCTTTTCCATTCTTCTCTCGGGATTTTGGGCAAGCACATGCATGTGCCTGGCATGAGTTTCAAGTTGCCAGGTCCAGGACTTGAACCACGGTCAGCCATGTGGGAGTCCAGCACCTTTAACCACCACATCACCTGCTGGCCCTTTTTTAAAAAATTACTATTATTATAATTTTTAAATATAATTATAAAATAATTAATTCCATTTGGTATTAATATTTTTCAATTTGACCAGAGAGAGAGAGAAATAAAGGGTACGTGAGAAAGCAAGCCGCTAGGTCTGGGACTCGAATTGCAGTCGGCCACATGAGAATCCAGTGCCTTAACTACCATGCCACCTGCTGATCCCTATTACTGTTATTTTTAAAAGTTTGCCATAGGGCACATGTGCTTACTAGAGAGACAGAGAGAGGGAAAATGAGAAAGCAAGTCACCAGGTCTGGGACTTAAGCCATGGTTGGCTATCTGAGACTCCAGTACCTAAACCACCACATCACCTGCTGGCCCCTCACCTGTTCTCTCTTAATTTTTTTTTTTTAATTTGCCAGAGGGTACATACACTTGCCAGAGAGAAAGGGAGAGGGACAAAGCACTCACCAATGGATGGTCACACAGTAATCACTTTTCTTCCATTTGTACATTCCATGAGGATTTTGAACAGTCACACACATGTGCCCAGAATATTTTTTAAGTGGACAGGGCTGGTATTCAAATAGTGTGGTCAGCCATGTGGGATCTGGCTCCCATGAAACATGGGGTTGCCCCTAGTCTTAACTTTCAGCTTTTATAATCATATACATATAGGGGGTCTTCAAAAAGTTCAGTGAAATTATGTATAATGAAAAACCTAAGCATGGGGACCAGTAGTTAGCATAATGGCTATGTTGCTGGACTCCCGTGTAGTCGACCGCGGTTCAAGTCCTGGACCTGGTGGCTTAAACTCACGGTGGGTGCGTGTGCGTGCATGCCCAAAATCCCAAGAGGAGAGTGAAGAGATTGCGGCCTGGCCATCCCCCCTGGGGTGGGTGATTTCTTGCTTTCTGTCTCTCTGTCTGTCTCTGTCTTTCTGGTGAGCGAATGTGCCTTATAGCAAAAACCTCTCCAAAAAAAGAAAAAAAAGACAAACAAACAAAAAAACCTAAGCATGAATTTAAAATTTTTTTGCACAACAAAAACTTGCACTTTTAATTTTTTAGAAAAAGTTTACTTATTTTTTCCATAAATAAGACAGAGAAAAAGAGAGAGAGAGAGCATCCCATACAGGGTCTTGCTTGATGCTGCCTCAGCCAGCCGTGTAGATCATGAGCACACACATGCCTGGCAAACTCAGGGAGGTCTCTGGACTTGAACTGGGAACCATTCCATGTGGGAATGCATCACAGAGGCAAACTCTATCTCACATTTAACAAAATGCATCACTATTCGGTCCCTAATCTCACATTTTAATTCCATTTTTTCAAAAAGTTCTTGGAAGTCCTCCTGTGCATAGCAGGGGAAATTACACTACAATTATGTGCTACCTAACAGTTCAGTCAATGACAGACTGTATAGGACGGTAGTCCCATAAGGTCATAATGGAGCTGAAAATTTCCAATTACTTAGTGCCGGGAAGAGGTGGCCATTCTAACAGTAGCATAACACATTAGTCACATGTTTGTGGTGATGCTGATATAAATAAACCTACTACAATGCCAGCTGTATAAAAGTGTAGCACATACAATTATGTACAGTACCTAATACTGCTAATTATAATGAACAACTATGTTACCGGTTTATGTATTTACAACACTACACTTTTATCATTATTTTGTTACTTCTATTTACATAAAGTCTACTTTAAAAGAGTGAACTTTTATGCCATTGTATACCAGCAGTACTCTCATACATCTCATGTTTACCCTTGTCTTTTGATTGTATCATTTTCTCCTGAGTGATTTAATGTCATGTTGTTTTGTTAATTATGGCCCTTCCAGTGAGACAAACTACAGAGGTCAGAGACAGCACTGATGATCCTGACCCTGGGTAGGCCTAGGGTAACACATGTATTTGTGTCTTAGGATTTTTTAAATTATTATAATTATTTTATTTTTTAAAAATTTGACCAGAAAAAGACAGAGAGAGAGAGAGAGAGAGAGAAGGAAAGTGAGAAAACAAGCCACCACATCCAGGGCTTGAATTGCAACCAACCATGTGGGAGTCTAGTGCCTTAACCACCCATGCCACCAGCCAGCCCCCTTTGTGTCCTAGCTTTTAATGAAAAAGTTTAAAAAATAAAAAGAACAATTAAAAATTTTAGAAACAGAAAAAATAGAAAATAGAATAAAGATTTAAATAAAATATTTCTAAGGGGCAGCAGTGGTATATGGTGGTTAAGGTGCTGAATTTCCACATGGTCAACTGTGATTCAAGTCCCAGCCTGGAGGCTTGAAAATTACAACAAATAAATAGATAAACAAACAAATGTTTCTTTTAAAAGAAAATATTTCTATATAGTTGTATAATGTGTTTGTGGTTTAAGCTGTTAGTTTAAATCAAAAAATTATTTTAGAAGTTTTTAAACTATTTTACTTTAGTAAAATAGTTATAGTGTATTAAGGTAAATTTACTATTGAAGGGGGCCGGCAGGTGATATGGTAGTTGAGGGCGCTGAATTTCCACATAACCGACCGCAATTCAAGTCCCAGATCAAGTGACTTGCCTTCTCACTTTCTGTCTCTGTCTCTATCTCTGTCTCTCTGTGTGAGTCCCTCTCTGGTCAAACTAAAATAAATAAATAAACAAATAAACAAAGTTAAATAAAAAATCATTCTTTTTAAAAAATTTACTATTGAAGAAAGGTAAGTTCACTTATTATTAAAAAAATAAAAGTATAGGGGCCAGCAGGTGGCATGGTGGTTAAAGGTGCTGGATTCCCACATGGCCGACTGCAGTTTGGTGGCTTGCTTTCTCACTTTCCCATTCTCTGTCTCTGTCTCTCTCTGGTTAAATTAAAAAATAATAACAACAACAAATGGAATTAAATAAATAAATAATTCTTTTAAAAAGTAAAAGTATATATATTTTTATAAATTTAGTGTATGTAGTCTAAGTATACAGGGTTTACAGGGTTTATAAAATCCACCGTAGAGGGGGCAGCAGGTGACATGGTGGTTGGGGCTCTGGACTCCCACAAGACCAACTACAGCTCAAGCCCTGGATCTGGTGCCTTGCTTTCTCACTTTCCTTCTCTCTAATAATTATAGCAAGTTAAAAACAATAAGTAAAATAAAATAAATAATTATTTGAAAAAAATATCCACAGTAGTGTATGCAATGTCCTAGGTCTTAAACATTCACTCACTGACTCAACCAAAGCAACTTCCATTCCTCCAAATGCCATCCACAGGTAAAACGCGCATATTGCTGTGACATTTATCATTTATACCATATTTTTATATTAGGTACTTTTTTTTTTAAAGAACTACTTTATTGAACTTTATTTATTTACCTATTTACCTATTTTTAACTTGACCAGAGAGGGACAGAGGGTCAGAGGGACAGAAAGAGAGAGAGAAATTAAGAAAGCAAGCTGCCAGGTCCAGGACTTGAACTGCTATTGGTCACGTGGGAGTCCAGCGCCCTTAACTACCAAGCCACCTGCCGGCTCCTACATTAGGTAGGTTTAGATACACAAACACCAAACTGTTACAAATGCCTGAGGTATTCAGTACAGTTGCATGGTACACAGATCTGCAGCCTAGGAGCAACAGGCCATACCATGTGGCCTTGGTGTGCAATGGGCTCTACATTCTGGGTCTATGTAAGTACACTCAATGTTTACAAACACTCTATTTATAATCTCTGAGCAATAATGAAATCACCGAACGTGGCATTTCTCAGAATGCGTTCTATTGTTAAGCAATGCATGACTCTATTCTTCAATATTGATTTGAAAATTGACTTTCGTCTAAAACCTCCTCACTAGACTGAAAGATAAAGATGCTTTGTTTCAGAGTGTCTGTCTATATATATGTGAGTTAATTAGCCATTATATGACTATTATCCTCCAACCATAGACCTGTGTTTTCCCATTTCCTAGGTCTAAAACAAGCTGAATTTAAAATATATACCAAACTCTGTCTCTAAATCCAAATTACCTTGGAAGTATTAAAGGATGAGAACTGACTATGTGCGTGAAGATGTTTTTAGTTTCAACTTCCGTTAAGGGAAAAACACTGGAACAGAGATGGTGACTTTTTTTTTTTAATTTGCTCTAGAGTGTGTGAGCTCACCTCAGAGAGACAGAGAGACAAAGGAGGAAAATGAAAAAGTACCCTGAGAGGAAGGGGGCTGCGGGGTGGGGGTCAGCCATGTCACAATTCCTTCTCAGCCATTTCTCCTTTCAGGATTTTGGGCATGCATGCACATGCGTTCAGCATGTTTCTCAAGCTGCCATGTCCACATGGTTGGCCATGTGGGATCCGGCTGCCTTAACTCACTATGCTACTGGGTGGTTGGATGGTGACATTCTTAAGGATGTGTCAAAAATCGGTGAGTAACTTTTTTTTTTTAAACGAAGATTTTCCTACATTTTTTTTTCCACATGATTTTTGCCCAAAAATGAGTGCGAGACAGAGGGAGACTGAGAAAACAAGTTACCAGGTCCAGACTTGAACCATGGTCGGCGATGTGGGAATTCCAGTGTCTTAACCACCATACCACCTGCTGGCCTGGTGAGTAATTTTCTTTAGCTGGAATTGGTCAGTAATCATAAAAGTGTAACTTAGTCTAAGAGTAAGACAGAAGAGAATGGCAAGAATTGTGACAATCTGGAGAATACAAATCCAACTAAAAATACCTACAACCAAAATTTTAAGGATGTTGCAAAGGCCATTTGCAGCCTCTGCTCCGCTCTCACTTCTACACTGGCCAGCACACACAGCGAACAGAACACGGGCTCACTTCTTATTTGATTAAAAAATTACCTTAGCTTTACTGAAGGGGAAACAGGCAAAAGCACAGAGATCCTCAAGAGACTGTAGACAGCCTAAATTCCAGCTTGAATTCACCTGCTATTTTCCCTCAGCTCATGACCAACCTTATTATGGCTCACTGGGATTACCATAGAATTTCAGATTCTTATGTTCATAAGAGAACAACGTGGTCTGGCCATGGCTGTGCAAGGGTGCTGCAGTGCAAGGCTGAGCTCAATTGGGAGGTTTGGATCCTAGACTGACCTAAACCAACTGGGCATGGTAGCTTGTGTCTGTAATCCTAGCTGACTGGGAGACTGAGGCAGATGAATCACAAGATGATGAGACTCTGCCAAAAATCTCTTTCTCCCTCTTATTATTATTATTATTTTTTGAGAGGTTTTTGCCATAGGGCACGTGCACTTGCCAGATAGACAGAGAGAGACAGAGAGACAGAAAGCGAGAAATCACCCCCCAGGGGGGATGGCCATGCTGCAATCCCTTCTCCTCCGTTCTCCTCTCAGGATTTTGGGCACGTGTGCACATGCGCCTGGCATGAGTTTTAAGCCACAGGGTCCAGGACGTGAACCGTGGTCGACTACATGGGAGTCCAGCGACTTAGCCATTATGCTAACTGCTGGTCACTCTCCCTCTTACTTAAAAATTGGGGAAAAAGGAAACGACAACAAAAACCCTTCACAAACCTTATGTTTCCTCTTGCCTTTGTTGGAAACTTTTTCTGAGGCTTGTTTCTGAGCTTCTCTGGTGTGCTTTTCTGGCACATTTTTCTTTTCCCCCTTGGGTGGCTCTGTTTCTTTATAAGGCTTTCCTGGTATTCTAGTCAAGAGATTCAGGTCAATCTTCACAATAAGTGGATACCTGTCATCGGGCTCACTGAGGGGTGAAAGAAGTTCCTTCTCTTCCATAGGAGAGAACATTCGTTGCCGAAAAAAGCTATCTTCTTCCTCCATTGAGGAGGGTTTAACAGGAGTCCTATTGCTCTCAGGGTACTTAGGAGTTTGTGAGGAAGGAGGAAGGCTCTCGCTTTCATCCGAATCTGAGGATGAGGTATCTGTTTCTATGATTTCCCTTGATTTCTGGGAAGATTTACTTGTTGACTTGTATTTCTTTTTCTCTGTTGTAGGTCGCGGAGAAGATTTAGACTCCTTCTTTATATTGGGTTTCCTTGAGCCTTTGGTGGCTGCTTTGTGTCTGCTGGAGGGCATACTGGCAGCCATGTCTACTGGGGTTTCACTTTCTATCTTAAGGCCTCCACGGGGCTCTTCAGCAGCTGCCTTCTCAGCCTTTTTGGGTTGTTTTTTGCCAACAGTTCTCCTCTGTGTTGTGCTGTCACTCTGTGCAGGAGACTTCTGCCTACCACGCCCACCTTCTGATCCCTTTTGGATGGTTTTGGAGTCCCGTCCAGGAGTAGAGGAACTTGTTTCCTTAGGTCCACCTGGATCAGTGTAGCTATTCCCAGCACCCTGCTCTCGGCCTTCCTTTTTGTAGCCTTGAGATGATGGGATGTTACTGTCCACAGAAGAAGCTGGTGATACTTTATGGGGGTTTACTTTATTCAACCAGTTATCAAGCTGCCATTTGTTTGTTGGTGGTGGTTCAGGCTGAAAAAATAGAAAAATAAGGTGTTTTTTCTTTTTTTTCTTTGAAGAGGTTTTTGCTATAGGGCATGTGCACTTGCCAGAAAGACAGAGAGAGATAGAGAGACATAGAGACAGAAAGTGAGAAATCACCCCTGGGGGGGATGGTCATGTCACAATCCCTTCTCCTCCATTCTCCTCTCAGGATTGTGGGCACACACACAAATGTGCCCGGTGTGAGTTTAAGCCACTGGGTCTGGGACTCGAACCGTGGTCAACTACATGGGAGTCCAGTGTCATAGCCATTATGCCAACAGCTGGTCCCTTCTTTTTTTTTTTTTATGTGAAAGTTTTCTCCCTCCTTTACAATCTCAAGGAAGAGAAAAAAAATACAATGTTTAATGAAACAAAAGCATTTGCTTTTCATGGTTCTGATGAACCAATGCAAAAGACTGAATACTGACTATTAGCTCTAATTGCCTGAATGAGAAGCTTAAAAAAAAAAAAGAAGATAAGCTTAATGTTACATATAGTCTTTAAATAGCAAATACTGTTAGAAATCTAACTTGAAAGTATAATTACAAATAACATATTGGATCATTGGAAACATCATGATACATTTCTGCATAGAAAAGCAAAGGAAAATATGTCAGCACATTTCCAACGACCCAATAGTATATTTAATTCCTGAAAAATGAAAGGATGATGTAGGTAGCAAGAAAGATTTTAATTGCATCATCAAGCCACAGTAAAAATACACTATATAAGACTCATTTTATCCACAATCACTATATAATATAAATTATCATGTTGAAACATATATAACAAGAGACAAAATGAAAGAAATCTAATATTTTAGCAACCTGTAGTATGACCTCAAGTACTTCCTAATCTAGACCAAATGTTTATTCAAATAACAAGGAAACCAAAGTACCTAGGTTTCCTCCAAGATAAACAGTTGAAGCTCTTTTTGTTAGAGTATGTAACTTCATCTTTCCTTCACTTTTTTTAAGACTTAATTTTATTTATTCATTAATTTATTTTAATTTGATCATAGAGAGATACAGAGAGAGAGAGAGAGAAAGTGAGAAAGCAAGCCACCAGGTCCAGGACTTGCATGTCACAATCCCTTCTCCTCCATTCTCCTCTCAGGATTGTGGGCACACACACAAATGTGCCCGGTGTGAGTTTAAGCCACTGGGTCTGGGACTCGAACCGTGGTCAACTACATGGGAGTCCAGTGTCATAGCCATTATGCCAACAGCTGGTCCCTTCTTTTTTTTTTTTTATGTGAAAGTTTTCTCCCTCCTTTACAATCTCAAGGAAGAGAAAAAAAATACAATGTTTAATGAAACAAAAGCATTTGCTTTTCATGGTTCTGATGAACCAATGCAAAAGACTGAATACTGACTATTAGCTCTAATTGCCTGAATGAGAAGCTTAAAAAAAAAAAAGAAGATAAGCTTAATGTTACATATAGTCTTTAAATAGCAAATACTGTTAGAAATCTAACTTGAAAGTATAATTACAAATAACATATTGGATCATTGGAAACATCATGATACATTTCTGCATAGAAAAGCAAAGGAAAATATGTCAGCACATTTCCAATGACCCAATAGTATATTTAATTCCTGAAAAATGAAAGGATGATGTAGGTAGCAAGAAAGATTTTAATTGCATCATCAAGCCACAGTAAAAATACACTATATAAGACTCATTTTATCCACAATCACTATATAATATAAATTATCATGTTGAAACATATATAACAAGAGACAAAATGAAAGAAATCTAATATTTTAGCAACCTGTAGTATGACCTCAAGTACTTCCTAATCTAGACCAAATGTTTATTCAAATAACAAGGAAACCAAAGTACCTAGGTTTCCTCCAAGATAAACAGTTGAAGCTCTTTTTGTTAGAGTATGTAACTTCATCTTTCCTTCACTTTTTTTAAGACTTAATTTTATTTATTCATTAATTTATTTTAATTTGATCATAGAGAGATACAGAGAGAGAGAGAGAGAAAGTGAGAAAGCAAGCCACCAGGTCCAGGACTTGAACCATGGTCAGCCATGTGGGAGTGTCCAGTGCTTTAACCACCACGCCACCTGCTGGTCCCATCTTTCCTTCACTTTTAATCAGGTCTTAACAAGACATCGACAAGGGCCTTAAGAGGTCCTAAGGATGGCAACTGCCCTCTCCCTTCCTCTTACCTCAGGAGATGCGCTCTGAGACGGCTCATTTGCCTCACTGTCACTGGAACTACTTTCACTTTCAGAGTCAGATCCGGAGCTGCTTTCAGATCCACTGTGGCTGCTAGAATCATCTCTGGAGTTATCTGCTCCTTCACTATTATGGTGTGAAGGTTCAGAGTTACTAAAATGAAACAAAATATATAAATGGCCAAAAGTTTTTTCACAGTGACAGAGGAAAATATCCCAATCTGACCATCAAACTTTAAAATGCTTACTATTTATTGAGCTGTTACAATTTTATGAATCCAGAACTTCACTATAAATGAATACTTCTTTGAAAAGTTTACAATGTGCTACTAAGCTATTAATACTCAACATTTTAAAAAGTTTGAGGTATAATTTACATATCATAAAATTAATCCACTATATATGTGTAACACAGTGATTTTTAGTTAATTTATAGAATTGTGCAACCAAAAGTACAACTGATAACATTTACTTTATAAGGCCACTTATTATATCACTACAATGTTATCAGCTTGACTCCACCCCTACAAATAATGCAAAAAATAAAAGGATGGCTACCTTCCCGGTGTACTCCTGGGCATTGTCTTATCACAATCCTAAAATTAAAGCACAAGAGGGAAATCTGAGAACGAATAAATAACACTTTATTTCCTTAAAATGAACGTTATCTGAAGCTTTAACAGAAAAATCTGGCTTCTCTAATGCATGGATCAATGCTTATTTAATACTTATACCATTTTTACATAAAGAATAATTAACTGAATTGGTCAGGATAAGATCAAAAGTTTCATTAATCATTCTTCTTACCAATAATCAGCTCTATGAATATTCTGATCCATAATAAATGTTAAAGAAAATTAATTGTTTAAAAGTAAGAAAAAGAAGGTTTAAAAGAACAACAAAAAAAGCTACAATATTCCAGTGTATGAAAGCTTATAGGAAGAAACTTAATCACTGGATCATAAATATATTATGCAGCTGTAGTTTTTATAAAATACAATGAAACTGAAAAAGTCATAATAGTAAACACACCTGTTCCCCATCACTGTCTTCACTGCTGCTTAGTTTCAAGTCATCCTTTAACATACTAAAGGGAAAAGGCAAAGAGGATTATTATTTTTTGAACAATTTATCATGGCATTCCAGAGTATTACATATCTACCAATAATTCTAGAACTAATTACAGTGGTAGCCAAAAATTTAACTGGAAAACAAAGAAAAAGACTTGTAAGTCTTATTTTGGTTTGGTTCACAGTGGGAATAAAAATTGAGACAGGATGAATTTAACCATTTTATATATTCTAATCTTTCTGAGAGTAGAATAGCCATCTTACTTTTCTAATTAAAAAAAAGCCATGTTCTATAAACTCTCATGTTCATTTCTGCTATCTCAAATTGCACATATACACATATTCATTATTGAAACAAACACAGTCACTAAACAATTCATTAAAAAAAATGCAACTCCTAAAAAGAAAGAAGATGAAATGAGAGGATCAGCAATTCTATTTCTTTGTCCTCAATGTTCCACGAAGAGGGACTTGTGCAACTATTGGCAAGCAGATTCATTGTGAAACCAGAAGAACACAATTTCCTAAGCCAGGGTTCTCATTCATAAATGCCTTGCTATGAAAGACAAGTGCTCTTTGTGAAAATAATAATTTTGCATAAGAGCCTCGGCTATATTGTTATAGAACTCTGGGTTCCAAATCTTCCTTGATCAAAATTCCAATCAATTAAAAAGCATGCATACAAATACTATATGCAAATGGTTTACAAATACTATAAGCTAATGGTTTTTAGAATTTGTTTTTGAAAATTTTAGATTTTGAGGACAGAAAATCAAAACCATTAAACTTAAAATCTGAATAACAATCCACAAACACTCCTTGGTCTTTTTATAGGACAGGAAAAATTACTACAAAGCTTAGTGAGAACTGCAAACAGAAAAATGTTTAATTTCTAATTACCAGTAGTTCCATTACCTTTCTTCTTAAAATTTCAAGACAGTTTCCCCTCCATGGAAAGAAAATCTTCTTTCACTCCAATAACTGTCTTTACTATTCTCAAAGCTTAACCTAAATTTCTAAATCTGACCCCGAGTTTAAAGTACTTCACAAAAGATCATTTCTAAATAAAGTAACCAGATGATTACAGATTTATGAAAAGTGTTTTAAGACTGGCAAAATTAAGCGAGACAGAGAAAAAGTTTTATGAACAAGGGCCTAGTGAATCTCCTGTAAGGAAATCATTTCCTGTAAGAAAATGTACTTAACTCTGAATTCTCTCAGCCCTTATGATTTAATAATGGTAACTCAATGAACATGTTTACATATGTAAGTGTCAGCTTTTACCAGACTATACAAGGTCCTGTATGTTTTTGTTCCCTCAGCAACCAAAACGATATGCACATATGTAATAGGCATGTATCAATTCTCTGCATATAAATAAATGATAAACAGGGACCAGCAGTTGGCGTAATGGCTGTGTCGCTGGACAGTCATGTAGCTGACTGCAGTTCGAGTCCCGGAACCGGTGGCTTAAACTCACGCCAGGCGCGTGTGTGTGCATGTATGCCCAAGATCACAAGAGGAGAATGGAGGAGAAGGGATTGTGGCGTGGTGATCCCTCCTGGGGGGTGATTTCTCGCTTTCTGTCTCTCTATCTTTCTGGTGAGCGCACGTGCCTTATAGCAAAAACTTCTCAATAAATAAGTAAATAAATAAATAAAAGATTTCCTAATTCATGTTTAAAAGATTAAGTATTTCCAGGCATTATTCAACACACCCGGATATTACAGACAACCTTTAGCAAAAGAAAAACATCAAATTTATTAAGCAATAAACTTACGATTTAGACTGGTGCCCATTTGAAGTTTTAGAAGAAGGATTATATCTTTCTAGAAGGAAAAAAATATGAAAGTGAACAACTGAAGTATGGATAGATAGACTGTAAAATATCTACCCCAAAGAAATAGAAATAAAAACAAGGAGATATAATTCTTCATTCAGCAAACTAGTAACACTTTGAAATCCAGTAATATGAGATACTGGTGAGTACAGGGAAATAGGCATTCTCTCATGCTGTTAGTAGGACTATAAACTCACACAATTTCTGGAGGGCAATCAGGTAATATTATTTGATCAATACTGTCATTGTCCTGCTGCTGACCCAGCAGTTCCAATAGAAGGAATTTACCTTACAGATGGATTCTCTGGAGGAATAACTGATACACACACACACCCCTCCACAGGAATGATTAAGCAAATTAAATGTTCATCAATAAGGGACTAGTTAAATCATAATTGTTTCATATAACACAATGTTCATGTTAAAAAGTATGAGCTATGGGGCTGGCAGGTGGTGTGGTGTTTAAAGACACTGGATTCATATTCATACATGGCTGACCATGGTTTGAGTCCCGGACTTGGCTTGTCCCCCCCACCCCAATCAAGATAAAACATAATTGGGAACAGCAGTTCACGTAATAGCTATGTTGCTGGACACCCATATAGTCTACCACAGTTCGAGTTCCAGAGGTGGGTGGCTTAAACTCACGCCAGGTGCATGTGCGTGTGCGACCAAGATCCTGACAGGAGAAGGGATTGCAGAGTGGCCATCTCCCCTAGGAGGTCATTTCTCACTTTCTGTCTCTTGCTCTCTCTTTCTGGCAAGTGTATGTGCCCTATAGCAAAAATCTTTCCAGAAATAATAATAATGATAATAATAATAACAAATGGAATTAAATAAATAATTCTTGTTTTTAAAGTATGAGCTGGAGCATTATACTAACTCAGAAATAGCTCTAAAATAAATTAAATGAAAAATACACCTTATGATCCCATTCATCAATAGTCAATTTGGGGAAAAGAATGCAGAAAGAGTAGAAAAGTATGAGATATCACTGAAAGTCAGAAAATGAGAATTCTGGTCTATAGCTAGCTGTATTTATGCATGTCAACCTCTCAGGTCCTTTTCCCTCACAATTATAGCTTTAAGGCAGAACTAAGAAATGGATATAAGATACAGAAAACTTAACATCAAGATTTTTACTTTTGTAATATTATCGCTGCATTAAAGAAGCTAAGAATAAAAAAGTTCCATATTTTCATATGTCAAAATACCTTATAACCAGTATAGGTGGGCACTTGAAAAACCTTATGGAAAAATGAAATTAAAATTCAAGTTTTCTTGGTGAAAAAAACCTCAAAATCCATGCATAATATTTTCGTAATATACATTTTCCACAAACCTTCTGAAGATCCCACCTAAATCTACCTTACTTAATGCTGTTTTGTTACAGCACTATATGATGAAGCCGAGACATATGCAATGGTTTCTTTTTTTTTATTATTTTTAATTATTTTATTTCATTTTATTACTTCTTTAATTTGACCAGAGAGAGACCGAGAGAGAGGGAGAGTGAGAAAGCAAGTCACCAGGTCCAGGACTTGAACTATGGTCGCCCATGTGGGAATCCAGCACCTTAACCACCATGCCACCTGCCAGCCCCCAACATATGAAAGGTTTCTGATCTTACTACTACCAATATAGACAACCATCAACTCTGAATTCCCTAAGGTTATCCTTTCCCTAAAGTTCTTCTTCCTTTTTTTAAAAAAATTGCTATAGGGCACATGTGCTTGCTAGAGAGGAGGGAGAGCGGGAGAGAAGGAGAAGAGGGAGAAAATGAGAAAGCTCCCCTTAGGGGGAATAACCACACCACAATCCCTTTTCCTCCATTCTCCTCTCAGGGCTGTAGGTTTGTGCATGCCAGGTATGTTTCTCAAGCCGTAAGGGTTAGGACTAGAACTGCTTAGTCGGCCACGTAAGGTCCAGTTGCCTTAACCACCACACACATGACTGGCCCAACCCCTCAAGTTCTTTTCAGAGGTGAAGAGAGTAGGGGTGAAGAGGGGATGCAATGGGCAGCAGACTTTCAACCCAGACCAGAAGACTCAGGAGGAACAGATAAAGGATGTACAAATGTAGAAAAGCAGTCATGGTCAGTTTGGAGTTTTACCATTCAGAACCAGCTATCTTCATGGAGGAGGTAGAAAGACAAAAAATGGCTATTGGATTTATGAGGTGCCCATCAAACGAATTCAAGAAGTCCTTAACTTCTTCAACTGTCAGTTGAAGGACTTAATAAAAATAGTTCATTCTGATCTCCAATAACCTACAATTCTTGATTTTAAGCATACCAAGATTCAGCTAAACTCACTACTAATCATAGGATCATAAAAATTAGGCTAAGACATGCAAAAATAAATTACTAAGATAATTTACTAAGTGACCATAAGAAGTGAAGACTCAACAAATAGCTTAATTTGAAAACCAATAGAAAAATACTCACTTTGTTCTCCAGGGCCAAAATTGGACTGCTGAGACTCCTAAGCAACAGGAACATAAAGTTATATAAAGTAACATTAAGAGAAAAATTTCATTAGTGAAAAATGCTTCAAGTACATAAAAGTGCTTCAAGTAAATAAAAGACATTGTGGTGATCAGGTCTCATCAGCCTTAGGAATTCTGTCGTCAATAATGAACTTTCCCAGGGCCGGCAGGTGGCGTGGTGGTTAAGGTGCTGGACTCCCACATGGTCGACCATGGTTTATGTCCCGGACCTGGCAGCTTGCTCTCTCTCTCTCTCTGGTCAAAATGAAGAATAATAAATAAAATAAAATAAAATAAAATAAAATATTTAAAATAATAATAATGGACTTTCCCAGAGCTTAGTACAAAAAGCATTAGGATAGATACTCCTCCTCCTTTATCATTTCTTTTCAGTTACAATCATAGTACTTATAGCCTTATTTAATTTAATTTAAATTTAAGATTCTTGGTCTCTGGTCAGCCTTATGCCGAGTAGTTAAGGAAGCTGAATCCCACATGGCCAACAGAAGTTTGAATCCTAGGACCAGCAATTAGCATAATGGCTATGTTGCTGGACTCCCATGTAGTCGACCATGGTTCAAGTCCCGGACCCGATGGCTTCAACTCGTGCTGGGTGCATGTGGGTGCATGCCCAAGATCCCGAGAGAACAGAGGAGAAGGGATTACGGTGTGGCCATCCCCCCTGGGAGGGGGGAGGGTGATTTCTCACTTTCTGTCTGTCTTTCTGGCGAGCGCATGTGCCCTATAGCAAAAACCACTTAAAAAAAATAAATAATTGAATCCTGGCTCTGGAGGCCTGAAAAACATGCTAAGTACATGTGCATGCATGTCACAAATCAAGACAAGATGAAGAAATGGAGAATAGGCTGTGATGCGAGCATGCCTCGGGGGGGGGGGCAGGTGTTTTCTCCCTTAAATGCCACTGTCTGTGAAAGAAACATGGCTTTCCAAAACTCAACTTTCGTGGCCAGAAAATCTGTTTCATATGTGCAAACTGTGCATTTTTCTAGGTTGTCTGGGGCAGAAGATGTTAACACTAAAATTGCACAGACATCCCTAAAAGTATCCTTGAAGATTAGCATACTCTTCTTTTAATGACAGAATTATCTGTCAAAGGGCAATGCAAACAATAAAAATGCTAAAATATAGTTGTGCATTTCAAAAATGTAAACCTACAGGTCAACTGATTTTTCTAGAAAGATATTAAGATTAATCTAATGAGGAAAGAACGGTCTTTTCTACAAATATTGCTGGGACAACTGAATGGCCACATGTGAAAGAATGAAGTTGGTAAAGAAAGTGAACTCAAAATGGATCAAAAACCTAAATGCAAAAGCTAAGCTACTTAGAAGAAAATATAGTGCCAACTCTTGATGACCTTAAATTGGCAGTTTATATGACAGCAAAAGCATGAGACACATGTACAAAAAACAGACAAATTAGATTTCATCACAATTAAGAAAGTTTGGGCCAGGCCTATAGTGTAGCAGGTTAGAGGTTGTGCACAGAAAGCTGGATCCCACATGACCAACCATAGTTCAAATCCTGACCTCAGTAGCTTGAAAACACGCCAGGCATGTGTGTGTGCCCAATGGAATGGAGAAATGGAGGATAAAAGGTTGCAAAGTGACCATGACCCATTAGGGGCTGCTTTCTCTCTCTGGTGAGTGCAGTGTCCACTGGCAGTAATAAAAAAAAGAATGAAAAACTTGGTTCTTCAAAAGACACCACCAATAAAGTGAAAAAACTCACAGAATAGGGGAAAAAACTGGCAAATCATATGTCTAATAAAAGACTAGTATCCATAATATAGAGAGAGCTCTTTCAATTCAAAAATAACCCAATTAAATGGGGAAAGGATCTGAACCCTTGGTTTGCCATGAAACATATATAAATGGCCAATAAACATAAGAAAAGGTGTTTGACATGATTTGTCATTGGAGAAATACAAGTCAAATCCACAATGAGTTACTACTTAAACCCACCAGGTAACTATTATTAGGGAAAGTCATGACCTATTTTTCTGTATAAAAATGCATCAAAACTTTCTCAACAACCCAATAGAATCCAAAAGACAAACAATGAATAACAAGTGTTGACAAGGACATGAAGAAATTGGAATGCTGTTGGGGATGTAAAAATGGTGCAGCTGCTTTTGAAACAGTTTGGAATTTCTTCAAATGTTACTGTATGATCTAGTGATTCTGCTCTTAGGTATATAACCAAGCAAAATAAAAACATATGCTCACACAAACGCTTCTACACACACAGCAGCACTATTCATAGTAGCCAGAAAGCAGAAACAACTAATATCTACTAGCTGATGAATATGTAAGCAAAATGTGACATTTATCCATACAATGGACTATCCCATAAAAAAGAATGAAGTACTGACATTCCACAACTTGGATGGACCTTAAAAACATCATGCTAAGTGAAAGAACTCAGTTACAAATGACCACATATTACCTGACTCCATTTATATGAAATGTCTGTAATAGGTAAATCTGTACAGAATTAGGGCTGGGAGGGAGGACAGGGAAAGGAGGATAATAGCTAAAGAGTATGGTGTTTCTTTTTCAGGTGATGAAATGTTCTAAAACCGATTGTGGTGATGGTTACACATATCTAGAAATACATTCAAAACAACTGAATTGTAGGGGACCAGCAGTTAGCGTAATGGCTATGTCGCTGGACTCCCACGCAGTCGACTGCAGTTCACGTCCTGGACCCGGTGGCTTAAAACTCACGGCGGGCGCATGTACATGCGTGCCCAAGATCCCGAGAGGAGAATGGAGGAGAAGGGATTGCGGCGTGACCATCCCCCCTGGGGTGTGATTTCTCGCTTTCTATCTCTATGTCTCTCTCTGTCTGTCTGGTGAGAGCACGCGCCCTATAGCGAAAACCTCTCCAAAAATAAAAACAATTGAATTATACACTTCAATTGGATGAATTACTTGGTAAGTGAATTATAGCTCAATAATGCTGTTAAAAAAAAATTGTAGAGCCCTGGCTAAGGGGTCACTCTCACGAACTGTGTTAAAAATGGACTCCTTAGAAACCAGAAGTTAGCGTAATGGCTATGTCGCTGGACTTCCATGTAGTCAACTGTGGTTCGTGTCCCAGACCCAGTGGTTTAAAGCTCATGCCAGATGCGTGTGTGTGCGTGCCCAAGATCCCGAGAGGAGAATGGAGGAGAAGGGACTGCGGCGTGGCCATCCCCCTGGGGGGTGATTTCTCGCTTTCTGTCTCTCTGTCTCTCTCTGTCTGTCTGGCAAGTGCATGCGCCCTAACACCAAAAATCCCACAAAAAAAAAAAAAAAAAAAAAAAGGACTCCTTAGGACCAGGAGATGGTGTAATAGTTATGTTGATGGACAATGGACTCCCAAGTAGTCAACCATTGTTTGAGTCCCGGCCCCGCTGGCTTAAACTCGCACCAGGCACGTGTGTTTACCTGCCCAAAATCCCAAGAAGAGAATGGAGGAGAAGGGAATGCGGTATGGGCAACCTTGGGATAATTTCTGTCACTTTCTGTCCCTCGCTGTCTTTCCAGCAAGCACACACACCCTATAGCAAAAATCCCTCTTTAAAAAAAAACAAAAGAGTCCTCTACCCTCTTGAACTACTTAAAAGTCTAATACTCATTTACTTGGTAAAAGTTAATAGTTCAAGCTTCCAAGTAAATGCTGACTCCTTTCTCTCACTTCTGATAACATTTAGTCAGTCACCAAATACTACTAGAGTCTGTCTCCAGAACACTATTTATTCTTCATCTATGCTGTAAAGGCTTCAGGTCTTCACCTTTTTTCATATACAATAGCCATCTAATGGGTCTTTCTGGCTGAGTCTTAATCTTTCCCTCAATTACAGCTTCTAGTTTACCTTACTAAAGCCCAAATCTTAGTATGTGTCATCATCACTCTCCTATCCTGCACAGGACATTTTATTGCTCTTTGATTTTTCCTAGGGATAAAACCCAAATTCTTTGGAATCACACTCACTCATGTATTTACATTCTGGGAAAAAAAAAAAAAAAAAAAAAAAAAAAACAGAAAAAAGGGCCTACCTAGTCCAATAACGTCAATAATGATGATCTTTGCAACCACTCATGCAAATAAAAGTAAAATGGCAATTGTAATAAGTATGATAAAAGGTAAGTACACACACAGTGTTTTATAAGAGTTTATTTGAGAGATTATCATGGTGTGTGTGGGATCTGATGGGGGTGGGGGAGACAATAGCTAGGAAGACAAGAGAAGGTTTCCCCAAAGAAGAACCGTTCAGGTTGAAATTTAGAAGATATGGAGGAAGCAAACTGTGACCAGAGGAGATAGGTGAGTGCTCTGGGAAGAGAGGATAGAAGTATAAAAGCCAGAAATGAAGAATATAGCTAGCATAAGGAACTTAAAGGCAGACCATGGAGAGGAAAAAGGACAGAAAGAAGAATGGTGAGAAATGAGACTGAAAATCTAAGCAGCAAGATGATACAGCTTACAGAACGTATAGACCACATTAAAGATATATGTGCGTGCAATTTTTTAAGCAGTAGCATTATATAACCACACCTGCTTATTATGAAGACCATCATGGCTATTAAGTACAGAATGGCTCTGAGAAACTAGAATGAAAGTAAAGATACCTACTAGGAGGACACTGTAGTGGTACAAAAAGGAGATGACTATAGCTTAAACAAGTTGGTCTTCAAGTTTTTTTGATTGTGTACTCCATTACTAAGAAATTTTTCCATTTGCACCTCTAAAATATGTACATACATAGAACACCATTTTCTAAAACAAACAAAAATAATTTTAAGAATCATTTATTATTATCATTATTATTATTTTTTAATTTTACCAGAAAGATAGACAGTGATGGGGCCGGCAGGTGTCATGGTAGTTAAGGGCTACCCACATGGCTGACTGCAGTTCCAGTCCCAGACCTGGCAGCTTGCCTTCTCAATTTGTCTCTCTCTCTCACTCTGTCTCTCTGTGGTCAGATTAAAATAAATAAATGAATGAATAAATAAAGTTCAATAAAATAATTTAAAAAAAAAAGAAAGTGAGAGAGAGAGAGAGAGAGAAAGTGAGAAAGCAAGCCACCAGGTCCAAGACTTGAACCATAGTCAGCCATGTGGGATTCCAGCACCTTAACCACCACGCCACCTGCCAGTCCCAATAACAATAAATAATTTTTAAAAACCAAGACATTAAAAGGCAAAAGCTAGGGAACCAGCAGTTAGCGTAATGGCTATGTTGCTGGATTCCCACGTAGTCGACCGTAGTTTGCATCCTGGACCCAGTGGCTTAAACTCATGCCGGGCGCGTGTGTGTGTGCGTGCCCAAGATCCCGAGAGGAGAATGGAGGAGAAGGGATTGCGGCGTGGCCATCCCCCCCGGGGGATGATTTCTTGCTTTCTGTCTCTCTGTCTCTCTCTGTCTGTCTGGCGAGCGCACGCGCCCTATAGCGAAAACCTCTCAAAAAAAAAAAAAAAAAAAAGCAAAAGCTATAAAGAAAAAGATATTTTATCATTTGAAATCTACATGTTCTAGACTATAAAACTTAAAAGACAAGAATCTAATGGGAGATATATTTGCAACATGTGTAAGACACTACTAAAATCCCAAATTACAAGAAAACAAAATAAGAAGCCTTCACATAAAGTACAACTCAACAGGAAGCAAGATTAGGATCAGCAGTTAGCGTAATGGCTCTGTCACTGGACTCCCACGTAGTTGACCGCAGTTTGCGTCCCGGACCCGGTGGCTTAAACTCACGCCGGGCGCGTGTGCGTGCGTGCCCAAGATCCCGAGAGGAGAATGGAGGAGAAGGGATTACGGCGTGGCCATTTCTCGCTTTCTGTCTCTCTGTCTCTCTCTGTCTGTCTGGCGAGCACACGCGCCATATAGCAAAAACCTCTCCAAAAAAAAAAGGGAAGTAAGATTAGAAAAATTCATCCAAAAAAAAAAAAAAAGAAAAATTCATCCAACAAAGACATTAAATAGATAAAAGTGTGCAAAGATAATGAACTTCAATCTAGAAAATAGAATGCCATTTAAATTTTTAAATTTTATTTTATTTATTCATTCATTTTAATTTGACTAGAGAGAGACACACACGGGGGGGAGGGGGGGTGAGAAAGCAAGCACCAGGTCTGGGACTCGAACCATGGTCAGTCATGTGGGAGTGTCCAGTGCCTTAATGAGCATGCCACCTAATGGTCTCCTAGAACACCATTTTTAAGTCAAAAGATTGGCATTTAATAATATCAAATGGTGGTGTGCATATGAAGAACAACAGGTTATACAAGCAGGAGTTATTGACTGGTACAAGTCCTATAGTGTAACTAGAGGGGGATTTGAGATTAAATATTTATTCTCAATACTCAGCAATTGTACTTTTGGCATTTGACCCTAAAGAAACTGCATGCACACATGAAGTTATGAACAAAGCTATCAACTGAAGAAATGTTTATAGAAATGGAAACTTGATAACAATTTAAATACCAAGGAGAAGTGGCCAAATATAATAACATGGAAAGGTACCTACAACCTACTGCTGACTGATTTCAGATAAGGATATCTATGTAAAATAAATGAGGAAGTGCTTATATGTAATGATTACATCTATTAGTCTGTAAATGCACATAAAAAGACTTGCAAAGGTGCTCTGAAAGGAGCTCTGATGAAGCTAAGAACAGAACTGGGGAAGTTTATTACAGGGGTTCTGGTCAAAACTTCACAAGAAGAATATATGCTTGTTTTTTTGTGTGTGTATAAACATAAATTAATGTTTAAAAAATAAATCTGCTGATTTCAGATGTGCTTGGAACTGTTATGTGAGGAACTCCTTTCCATAGGGCACAAATGTTCTTCAAACTACTTGAGAAGCCCTTACCAGCTCTCGCCTAGAATACCACAGTGCAATAAACATCAGCGCCTTGTTAAGTCTTCCCCCATACTGACTTAATGCTTTTAAGTTCCTTTCAATCTAAGATGCTCTATTCCATTACCTTGTTCAATTTTCTTTGTGGGAATTGTCACTATTTGAACTTATTTATTGTCTGTCTCCCAACAGAATGAGAATGGCCAATTTTGAGTTCATATGTGTTTAGTTGAGCCATTCAGAGTTTTCTTACAATATCAATGAGACATTTTATTTACTTACCTTAGTTGGAAAAGGAAATTTGGAAGGTTCTGTTTTGCAAGGTGTGTGAATAGCCGTTAGAGGGGGAGGCCAAGAATGCGTCATCTCCTGAAATGTAATTATTACAGTATGTTTTCAACCAGGTCAAGGATAAAAATTATACAACTAAAAACCAGATTTGTATTTATAAATACTGGTTTCATGATTGCTCCTCCAAAATCATACATATTACTCAGTTAATGTTAATTAAGCACAATTGTGTGCGAGGGACTATAGGGTAGGCAACAAGATAAGTAGAAAAAGCTCCCTGGCTTCAAGGAGTTTACAGTTCAAATGATGAGACCTGTGAAGAGTTACAGAAATCAGCCTGTAATCAAATACAAGGTACATAATAAAACACTCCAAGGAAGAGCTTGCTGTAGGGGTGAGGGGAGGGAAACAACAAAAAGGTAAACAGCGAGTCTGTACTGTGTACCTGTAACGGCTTAGACACTGTGCTGTTGTACATGTCTATTACTCATCCAGCTCTCACAATGACATTATGAGGTAGATGCCATTATTATCCTAACTTTATTTAGGGTGAAACCGAAGCACAAAGGTTAGGTTATTTATTCAAGGGCAATGCCTAGTAAGTAATAGACTGAGAATTTCAGCCTAAGAAGTATGGCTATGGAACCCATGTGCTGACAAGAAAATTTGGTCAGATGAAGAAATCAGAAGATAGATTCCAAAAGCACATGAGAAAGAAAACACACCATCAAGGCCATGGTCTGATATCACTCAATATCTCTGCCAAAAACATCTAGATAAGATCATAATGTGTATGTCAGAAAAGTGGGGGAAAGAGGTATTAGGCTCAGAGTAAGGGTTTTAATTCTGGCATTTAGTTCCAAGTAAGCGATTACCAGGTAGACTGAGAAAGTACAATACATTAAAGGTGGCATAATGCTTAGAAATGTACCCTATAGCTACATCTACACAGCTATGTAAAGAGACACATGCAAGCAGCTCATATTTAAAAAATGGAAACAACCCAGGTAGCCAACACCACAGCAGTGATTAATTTCCAGTCATACAATAGAACACCAAGCACACCTTATAATGGGAAATTTAACTACTGATAGGTAATGATGTCCACAGGGTACTGTTAAGTGACAAACATACATCATGGTCTATATCCTAGTAAATGTCTATACATGAAAAAAAAAAATCTCTGGATCAACAGCTACCTCTGGGCAATAGAATGAGGGAGAGGGAAGAGGCAAGGGTACAGTGGCCATTCCTCCTGGGGGGTGACTTCTCACTTTCTGTCTACTTAAATCTCTGAAAATAGTCATTTCCACAAATTGCTCTTTATTCTCTAATAAAGCTTTTTTTTTTAAAAGAATTATTCATTTAATTTTATCATTTTTCTTTAATTTGCAATAGGGCACATGTGCTCACAAGACACACACACACACACACACACACACACACACACACACAGAGTAAGAAAACAAGCTGCCACATCAGGAACTCAAACCATGGTTGGTCATGTGTGAGTCCAGTACCTTAACCACCATGCCACCTGCTGACCCCAAGCTTTATTTACTTATTTATTTTGTTTTTGAGAGGTTTTCGCTATAGGGTGCTTGCGCTCGCCAGAAAGACAGAGAGAGACAGAGAGACAGAAAGCGAGAAATCACCCCCCAGGGGAGGATGGCCACGCCACAGTCCCTTCTCCTCCATTCTCCTCTCAGGATCTTGGGCACACACGCACACGTGCCCGGTGTGAATTTAAGCCCCAGGTCCGGGACTTTAACCGTGGTTGACTACATGGGAGTCCAGCGACATAGCCATTACGCTAACTGCTGGTCCCACCCCAAGCTTTATTGTTTAAATAGCACTGCATTTTCTGAATTAGTTATGGTTATTCCTACAACCTGTTCTAGAGTGTCAGCTGAAAGGGAAAACAACTACCATTATTACCACTCTAGCCTCAGTGCTTGACACATAGTAGGTGTTCCATTACCATGCCTTGAATTAAAAACGATTTTTTTCAGTAAGCATACTTTACTTTTTAGATTAAAGAGGGTTTTTTGTTTGTTTTTCTTTAGGTTCATAATGAGGTTTTCTTAGAAACAGAATGACTACAAAGATAAAAAAAATGAAGGGAATGTGGACCTCAAAATTTTCTGTACATTGCAGGTAGGGAAGGAAAAGGAAAAAATTCATGTATTTCAGATTTTTCACTAGCATTTTATACCTCAAATATCAAAATATTCAAATGAAAATCTATGTAACTGTCCAACTACCAACGGATGACTGAGCACTTATTACACTCGAGAGTATGTACAAGCCCTGGATATATAATATGTAGAACTGGTCAATAACATCAAAAAGAAGGACAGGGAACCAGCAGTTAGCGTAACGGCTATGTCGCTGGACTCCCACGTAGTCGACCGCGGTTCGCATCCCGGACCCGGTGGCTTAGAACTCACGCCGGGCGCATGTGCGTGCGTGCCCAAGATCCCGAGAGGAGAGTGGAGGAGAAGGGATTGCAGCGTGACCATCCCCCCTGGGGGGTGATTTCTGGCTTTCTGTCTCTATGTCTCTCTCTCTGTCTGTCTGGCGAGCACATGCACCCTTTAGTGAAAATCTCTCCAAAAAAAAAAAAAAGAGGGGCCAGCAGTTGGCATAATGGCTATATCACTGAACTCCTATGTAGTCAACTGCAGTTCGAGTCCCGGACCCGGTAGCTTGAACTCACGCCGAACGCGTGTGTGCCCAAGATCCCGAGAGGAGAATGGAGAAGGGACTGGGGTGTGGCCATCCCTCCTGGGGGATTATTTCTTGCTTTCTGTCTCTTTCTTTCTGGAGAGCACGTGTGCCCTATAGCAAAAACCTCTCCCCCTCAAAAAGAAAAAAAAAAAATCAAAAAGATAATTAAATATTAGAAAATCTCTGGGTACTAAAATTTTATGTACTAGCAAGGATTCATGCTCCCTTAGACTTTTTATATACTTGGCAACTAAAAAATATAAGCTATATGAGATTCAAAGAAGGAGTTGTCTCTGTGGTCTGATGGGAAAGATTTCATTCTAGATTTAAACAATCTATGAGAAGCCTTCAAAAAGTTCATGAAGGATCAGTCCCTTGATCTACTGGCTAACTGAGCCAGATCCCACATGGCCCACTTCAGACTTGCATCCAGTGTGCACGATACTGAAAATCTCACAGGAATGGAAAAATGGAGAAAAGTGACTGCGGCATGACCATGTTCTATCAGGACACCCTTTATCTCTTGCTCCCTCTCTCTGTGTGAAGTCCACACACATTCTGACAAAAACAAACAAACAAACAAACAAACAAACAAAAGTTCATGGAAAATGTATATCATGAACACAAACTATGTATGGATTTTGAGGTTTTTGGTAGCAAAATAAACTTGTACTTGAATTCCATTTTCCCACAAACTTTTGGAAGTACCCTGATACAACTGAAGAGAAAAGAGCAACACATTCCGAGGAAGTCTAAAAAAGTTTATGGCTTAGGAAAACCAGTTTGACAAACACGAGTAATCACTAGTGGGAAAGATTAGGACTGGCTTGTGAAAGGAAGGCAAAATTAAATTTAGACATTCATCTTTCTATGGGTCTTAGAGAGCCACTGAAAAATGGTAAGAAAGTGATTAAATTATAAAGACCAAGGACTCTGAAGTAAAGAATCTGGTAGCAACGCACAAGACAGATGAGCAGAAAGACTACAGGCGGGAAGGAAAAGTGAGGACTCCATGTCATAATTACTGAAGCTCGAGGTAGCAGAAATGGAAAGAGATGGATATTTTTAATGAAATTTCAAAGTCTATATCTAAGTTTTGTGATTAAACAGAACAGGAAAGGACAAAATTAGAGCTATTTAGCATCCTATTCTTATTTTTTCAAATTTGAAGATGTTTTTGCTATAGGGCACGTGCACTCACCAGAAAGACAGAGACAGAGACACAGAAAGTGAAAAAAAATCACCCCCCAGGGGAGATGGCCACGCAGCAATCCCTTCTCCTCCATTCTCCTCTCAGGATCTTGGGCATGCACACACATATGCCTGGCGTGAGTTTAAGCCACCGGGTTCGAGACTTGAACCATGGTCGATTACGTGGGAGTCCAGTGACATAGCCATTATGCCAACTGCTGATCCCTTAGCATCCTATTCTTACAAACACGACAGAATAATGATGTTACTAATGGAAATCTTAAAAGTATGGCTTTAGACCTATTGAGTCTGAAGAAGCAAAGAGAAATCCACAAGGAAATTTAGCTAAGAGGCATTTAAGTGACATAACCCAAAACCCAAAAGTGGCCAAGGCAGGAGAGGAAGACCGAAGAGCTGTGCAACAAAGTCAAATATGGTAGAAAAGGCAAGTCAAAGAGCAAAAAGAAGAGAAAGGGCTGGAAGAATACAACCACAGTTATGAGATAAGAGAAGATACAGGGTCCTAGAAATGCAAAACAAAACAGGTAAGAAAAGTGGGGGGAGATATCCAGCAGGTGGCGTGGTGGTTGAGGTGCTGAATTCCCACATGGCCAATATGATTCAAGCCCCAGATCCAGCAGCTTGAAAATTATGCCAGGCATGTGTGCATGCCCAAAATCCTGAGAGGAGAACAGGGGAGAAGGGACTGCAGCAGGTCATGCCCGTAGGGGGAGATTTTTCACTTTCCTTCTCTCTGTCTCTCTCCAGTGAGTGCACACACCCTATGGCAAAAAATATCTAAATAAAAAAAGGGGGGAGGAAAAGTGGAAGAGAAATAAAAACAATGAAGTATAATAACAACAGTCAATGAAAAATGGAGCATGTAGAAGGAAAAATTAAACTTATAAAATAACTCAAATGAGGCTCATGGATGAGGAGGAAAATAATGATCTTACAGAACCAGACTCAGCAAAACAGTAGAGGAGAAAGGGAAATTAGAGAGGACTAAAGGACAGTATGGGAAGAAGAGAAGCAGACAATGTAGTACTCTTGCAAAAGTATCCACAGTGACATGTAAGTACAGACACAAAAATTCAGGAGCTCACTCGCTGTCACACACACACACACACACACACACACACACACACACAGAAAGTACAAGTAATATGTGACTGTTATCACCACTGATAAAATGCAGACATTGTGACTCACTGAATCACTGGACTTTCTTTTTCCAATAGATATTTTCTTTGTCTAACAGAATGTGCTTTGGTCAAGTGTTGATTTTCAACGTATTACATTTAACATCCAAAATGTACAGTACTGAAATGGTCTGTTACTATAGGATCTGACCAGTATGTACAGATGAACCCTAAAGAAAACTATCTTAAATGTAATGCTTTCCTGGTAACTACTGAGTTTGTTACCCTTTCAAGTTATTAACTGAAGAGCTTGAGAAACTGCACTATATTTGGTCTCTTCCTCTTTTTAATGCAAACTGCCAAGACTGAAATTTGTTTTACTTAATTTACAAATAGTAAAGAAACAAACTACACGATTCAGAACCTAAGTACAAGAACAGAGTCAATTATTTATGATGGACATAACCAAGTTCTATACACAGTTCTATCTGATGTTTCATATTCTTTTTGTAATATATTTCAAGGAGGACTAGAGGGTGGCAGAGCATTATAGATAAATAAAAGAGATTAAAACGATTAAAAAAAAAAACTTACTTTAAGAATTTCATCGACACAGCTCACATCACCTGAAGCTGATGCCTTTAGAGGGAGAAAAAGAAATATCAATTAGATGTTGAGTCATTTCATTATTAATTTTTAATTTTTAGTATTTGCTGTGCAGATTAAAAACATTATTAGAAATGAAATGTAAAGACATATTTGTGATCCCACTCTAAATCAAAACACTAGTTAGACTCTTTGAACCAATTTCCTTAAAATACAAAATTGTCAAGCACTAGAATTATAACTGCCGAACTACATAAAGCTTGTGGAACTTCACGTTTCTTAAGTTTTTAAAATTCTAGTTTTTATATTTTTATACTAATTTATGTTTTACTGTATAAAAAATTTCTTTTTTATACTCTGGGATTAAAAATATGTGTACTTTTTAATTACCAGAGGGCACGTGTATGTCCCAGAGAAAGAGAAAGCACCACTCCCCAACTGGTACAGGTAACATCTTAATCTTTTTTCCTTTATTCCTCCATCCCATCAGTATTTTAGACACACATGCACACATGCTTGACATGTTTTTCAGGCCACTGGGACTGGACTACAAACTGCAGTTGGCTATGTTGGATCTGGCTCCCAATGTACGGGATTTACTACTGCTCTAGGAGGCCAGCTCCCAAAAAATAATTTTTAAAATGTTAAGTTTTCAGGTGAGCAGCTTGTCCAAAAATTGAAAAGTTTATTTACATATAAAGTATACTGCGTCAGTAGGTAGTGTGTGGTTAAGGCAGCTGTATCCCACGTGGGTGACTGACTACATGGTTAGAGTCCAGGACCTGGAGGCATAGAAAACATGTGGGTGAGCCGGAGGGTGGCATGGTGGTTAAGGGCACTGGACTCCCATATGGCCAACCACAGTTTGAGTCCTGGACCTGGAGGCTTGCTTTCTCACTTTCCCTCTATCTCTGTCTCTCTCTCTCGTCAAATTTTAAAATAAATAAATAAAGTAATTATTTTAAAAAAACAAACACTGGGCACGTGTGCATGCATCCCAAAATACCAAAAGAAAGGAGAAATGGAGAAGGGATTACAGTATGACCATCCCCCATGGTGGGTGTTTTCTCATTCTCTCTCTCTGGTGAGTGCATATACCCCCTGGCAACTTAAAAAATATATATGTGTGTGTATGTATGTGAGTATGTGTATGTCATGGGACAAGCTCTGTGGCCTGATGGTTAAGGGAACCAGATTCCACATGGTCAACTGATAAGTTCCAATCCTGGTCCAACAGCTTGAGAAACATGCCAGTCACACATGTGCCTAAAATCCTGACTGAAGAAATGAAGGAATTGTGGTATGACCACTTCCCACTGGGGAGTGATTTTTCCCTGTCTATCTCTCTCTGGCAAGAACACAGCCCACTGGCAAAGTCTCTTCACACACACACACACACACACACACACACACACACACATATGCACTATAATACTGATACACCACTTTACATAATCTTAAAAATAAAACGAGTTATCATCGAAATATTACTGGTCTGGAACAGGATAAATGATTTACACCAAAATTAAGTCACAAAGGGCAAGTTGCCTATTCTAAGGCGCAAACAGAAATGAAAAAGCTGAACTTGAGTCTTAACTCTATGAATGATGTTGTTTGAAGAAAGAACAAACTGACACAACTATTCTCCTGAAAGAAGTAATTAGATGACAAATGCCACTAACAATGAATTTCCCAAGGCCACAGGAAAGATTTTTAAATGTTTTCAAAACATCATTTTACCTATCCCTGACTCCTCCTTCCTTACCATTTTGAGTTACTGGCTACTGAGATTACTTTTTAGTTTATTAAATTGTTTTATTGTAAGTGTACTAAAAGATAAGATTTCAGCTATTTGACAATGACTGCTTACTGCTTTGGTTATTTTGAATATCATATTTTGGTATACAGTTATAGACATTACAAATTTTAAACCCAAACTATGAATCTAGAGCAGATATTGCAACCCTTTAAGTGCAACAAGAGAAAATAATCATATCATCCAAACTACACAACATTACCATCATCAAGGACCTTGAAGTTCCAACATTTACCACCATGAACTACAGTGCCTACATCTCATTCATTAATAACTCTATAAGAATAGGAACATAGGGCCAGCCTGTGGCGTGGTGGTTAAATCAGCTGGATACCATATGGCAACACTATGCAGTCTGAGTCCTGGACACAGTGGCTTAAAAAAACCCACACTGGGCACATTTGGGTATGTGCCCAAAATCCCAAAAGGAGAAGGGACTGTGGTATATGGCCATCCCCCCAAGGGATGCTTTCACACTTGCCCTCTCATTCTCTCTCCTGTAAGTATACATGCCCTCTAACAAGCTGAAGGAGAAAAAAAAAGGGGCCATAATTATTTTTAAACAAAAGAAAGCATGGTATATTATCCCATAAAACCAAAGTGAAAATCTAACATTCTGACGGACTATGCTTTTATTCTAAAACTGATTCACCATTTTAATATTTGAAAATTGTAAATGACATTTTCTCTATTTCCCAAGAGAAAATACCAGTTTTATTAATCCACTTGAGAGTCACTTTTTTTAATCTTTAAACTTTTACATTCCTTATGGGACAGTTCAAGTTCAATCTTAATTTCACAGTCAATTGTTTCACACGGTCACCATGTTAAAAGTTCTAAATGTATGGGAACCAGCAGTTAGCGTAATGGCTATGTCACTGGACTCCCACATAGTCGACCGCGGTTCGTGTACCAGATCCGGTGCTTGAAACTCACACCGGGCGCATGTGCATTCATGCCCATCACCCCTGGGGGGTGATTTCTCGCTTTCTGTCTCTATGTCTCTCTCTCTGTCTGTCTGGCGAGCGCACGCGCCCTATAGCAAAAATCTCCAAAAAAAAAAAAAAAAAAAAGTTCTAAATGTGTGACTTACATCCAGCGGCTGGGAAGGTATTTTCAGCTTGGTGAGGTGTGCTTTGCTGCTGGGCTTCAGCTCAGTCATGCTATTGCCATGGGACTGGCTGCTGTAGTGCTCAGAGGACAGCTTTGGTTCCATGGACTCCTGTCCATCCATGGGCCGCACGTAGGCAGTGGGTTTCTGTAACATTGAACTGGATTTTGACATCAATGAAGGTGGGAAAGACTGATTTGAGTGCTGCCCACTTGAAAAGGGTACACGGGAAGGAGAATCCCAGTTTGCATCAGGGTCCCGAGGTGATTTGGAACGCTGATGTTCCTTGCTATGGTGATCGTTCCCATGAGACCTGGAATGACTGGAGCTTAATGAAGAGACAGCCTGCTGTTTTCCAGGGCTGGAAGATCGTGATTTGGAGTGTTCTGATCCATGCTGGCCTTTCTTCCGGCTACTGCTCCCACTACTGCTGTATGAGTCACGGTCATGCCTCTGCCCACTACTGCTACTGCTACTACTGCCACCTGCACTGGTCCGCTGGCTACTGTGTCCACTTTGTAAGCCTGAGGACCGTTTCTGCGACTGAGAAGTGCTGGGTGCAGGTCCTACTGGAGTCCACTTGCTACTCTGATGAGAGCCTCCATGTCTCTGTTCAAAGAAATTTGGGTTAGATTTTTCATCTGCTGTTGGTGGTACTGTAGGCTTGGGAATTGCAACAAGCTTTGGTATAGCTCTGTCTCCTATGAAATCCTTCATTTCATCGTAGTTTCCAAGCATACTCTGAATACGACTTGATAGCTTGTCTTCTTTGCTGGTCTATATAAAAAAAAGTAAAACAAAGTTGTACTATTAGCATAATCAGAAATAAAATATGCTTCTAAACTGATTTTCCAAACTTCAAAAAGAAAGGACCATTTAAGGGAAGCTGCACCTCTTATCTAAAAACTTGGTATCTACAAGCAAACTCCAAATATGTCATTTTTATAGTAAAAAAGTATTCATTGCAAAGTGTCCAATAACAACCATGCTAAAACGTAAACATTTGATAAGACATTTAGAAATAAATATAATGGATTCTAGGAAGGGGGGGAGGAATCCAAATTGTACCAACAAACATTCTGAAACAGAGGCAAAAATCTTTTGAAGAATAGAAAAGTCATCTGTTCTTATGTAATTAAGTTCTGGGTCAGCAAATATCCATATTCTGGCTGTCTATGAAAGCATTATATTCTTTATACTTTGATGTTTATTTAGAAACAGAAGTGAGCGAAACAAAATTATACCCAATTGACTTTTTTTTAAAAATTCCCTCTGTTAGGGGGCCGCAGGTAGTGTGGTGGTTAAGGCACTGGACTCCCACATGGCAGACTGTGGTTCAAGTCTTGGACCTGGTGGCTTGCTTTCTCACTATCCTTCTCTCTACCTCTCTCTGGTCAAATTATAATTAATTAATTAATTAATTAATTATTCTTTCAGAAAAAAAAAAAAAAAAACCTCCCTCTGTTACTATGACTTATCAAGTTAATAAAGTTCCCAAATAATAAATCATGCATGGAAAACATTTAGCAAAATTTTAAATTCTGGTTTTAATTCTGATCAATAAATGCTCTAACTTTTAAAGTTGATATTACATACTTTAAGTTTCAAATAAGTATTCTTGGGTAAGAGGAAAGTGGTTTGAGATGACTCTTTCATATTCATAAAATTGGAAGAAAATTTACTGACTACATTAAAAAGAAATAGACTGTATAACCACTACTTGGGGCCAGCAGGTGGCGTGGTGGTAAAGGGTGCTGGACTCCCATGTGGCCAGCCACTGTTCGGGTCCCAGACCTGGTGGCTTATTTTCTCGCTTTCCCTCTCTCTCTTTCTCTCTTTGATCAAACTGGAAAATAATAATAATAAATAAGGTTAAATAAAATAATTATTTTTAAAAAAAAGATTATATAATCACTACTTAGTTTGAGACTGGCAAAAATAAATAATGACTTCAAATTATGTGAGAATCAATCAAACCCTATTAACCAAAGAGGTAAATAAATATACAACTGTTTATAGACAACATCAAGATCCAAAATTAAACCCAATTCATTACAGTCTAATTACAAAGTAAGTTGTATGACTCAAAGACTCTGGATAAACTTTTTTCCCAACGTATCTTTAATCCTCAATCCCAGGTTTTGTGATATATTCACATAAATGAGGCCAGTAAGACTGTCTTTAAAAATGAGAAAAATTCTTAGAAGTTCTTGGGGTCAGCAGGTGGTGGCCTGGTGGTTAAGAGGGCTGGACTCCCACATGGCTGACTGTGGTTCTAGTCCTGGCTCTGGCAGCTGACTTGCTCACTTTTTCTCTCACTTTCTCCATCCCTCTCTGGTCAAATTAAAATAAATGAATGAATAAATACATTTTTAAAAAGTTAAAATAATTCTTAAATTCTTAAAAGCTCTTGATACACAGCTTATATAGGGTATACAGATAGTTTCTGTAAACACCAAATGCTATAGTGGTAAACCTACGATACACTGTTACTTTTAATCCTTCACCAGGAAAAAAAGATTTAACACACTCTCAATCTCACACTATAAATCAACAATGGTCATTATTGCTGTAATACACAGAAATTTTGATATTATCTGAGGATTTCCAGAAGTTTGTGGAAAAATGAACTAAAGTATGAGTTTATTTTAATGCAAAAAAAGTCTAAAATCCATGCCTAGTTTCTCCACAATATACGTGTTCTATAAACTTTTTGAAGTCCTCCCATTTATAATATAATCCTTTAAAAAGGAGAAACAATTTAAATAAAATTCAGAGCCACATAAAATATTAGGCATCAGTGGCCACTAGAGTTCTATCAGTCATCAGAAGCTGTGCCCGTCAGTGTTTTAGGTATCCATACCTAAATCTACTATAATGGCAATTCATTCGATTTACTGAACGCCTCTGGTGACATGCTTCAGTGTCAATCTGATATTAACTAAGCATCAACTGCATCAAAAGAAAAAACAGAATTTGGTAACAGAAAAATAACTGGACTGGTACAAAAGATCCATTTATCTAAACAAGCAAATATACTAAGAGACCTTTAAAATCAAGAAAACCTAAGTAAGCAAATACAAGAAATGGAGGGAAAAAAAAAGTATCTATGAAATATTCATCTTTAATACCTAAAGAATGCCTATGAAACAGCAGATAATGCATATTGGCTCACAAAACTTAAATTTAACTCAAGACTCAGATGAAATGCCTGCCCACGTTAGTGGTAATGCAGGAGTATAACAGTGAATGTCTGAGCCAGTTGAGACCACGTTTTTAAGGAACAAGATACCATTGGATAGGGGGGAGGGGCTGATGGACTTCCAGGGTATTGGTAATGATCAATTTTTTGATCAGAGTACTAATTATATGCAGTTGTTCATGTGAATATTCTTTAAAACCATGAACACTTATCTTGTATACTTTTCTATATGCATATTATACTCCAAAGAAGTTCCTCCCGAGAAAGCATATTCTCTTCAGAAGAAAATAAATAGCATTCAAAACAATTATTTTCAATATAAAAATTCAATTGAAAAATGCTTTAGAAGCGAAACTGTCCTGTTAGGAAAAACAGCAACACTCAAAGGACAACTTACAACTTTGTATGGCTCAGCAAAGAGAGGGGAGCTTGGTGGGAAGGCGTCTTCGCCCTGCTGGATTTCCTGGTTCCGCCTTTCCCGTTCTTTCATACGCAGCACATTCCTGTCTTCACGGTTCATGTTGCTATGAAGAAAAAAAAAGAAAACCACAACTTTTACATCCCCAAAATAAGATGCAAAATTCAATTTTCTGTATTATTCTGTCAGTTTAAGACTTCAATCAGAGATTCCCTTTTGACTTCTAAGTAGTATCAGGTGTTAGTGCTGAATTTGAGTTTTGGCAATGGCTTTTATCGATTAATACCAATAGTGTCTTCCACAACTATCCACAAAGAAAATACTAGCCCAGAATATTAGAACCCACCCCAACAAAATTCTTATTAACCTTAGCAATTTTTAAAGACTCTGCTAGCTAAAAGTCAGCTAAAACTTGGATGTTAAGAAGGAAGGGGAGGTAGTTGTTAAGCCCAAATCCTCATTCATGACTTCCCTCTGTAGAAATGTAGCTATTCTCTGCCCTTCAAGGCACATAACCCACTCCCACCTACCACCTCTCCCACAAGGATTCCTCTACTTTGCATCTACCTTATCTTGATTTCTTTCTGTCCCACACACAGCTTCCTTGGTGTCCATCCTTACGGCAGTTTGACCTCAGCTTTGCTGTTGCTCTAGATCCCCTAAAAAATGACATTTCTGCTCTAAATATATTAATATTTCAATTAACACCTCAATAAATGGCAAAACTGAGGCTTTCAGTAACAATCTGAAATTAATTTCAGTTAGTAATAGTACTTGAAATTGTACTGAAAAAGAGAAAGTCTCTTGGAGTGGGGGTAAAAATACGGGTATAATTTCTTTTAAAAAAATTATTTCTTGGGAACCAGCAGTTAGCGTAATGGCTATGTCACTGGACTCCCACGTAGCCGACCGCGGTTTGCTCCCCGGACCTGCTGGCTTAAAACTCACGCCGGGCACGTGTGCGTGCGTGCCCAAGATCCCAAGAGGAGAATGGAGGAGAAGGGATTGCGGCATGACCATCTCCCCTGGGGGGTGATTTCTTGCTTTCTGTCTCTATGTCTCTTTCTGTCTGGCGAGCGCACGCGCCCTATAGCAAAAACCTCTCAAAAAAAATAAAATAAAATAAAAAAAGAAGTTGAAGTATATCTTTACTGTAAAGGCAAAACTGTTTTATAACTCTGAGAATATAGGAAAAAAGATTTAATTTCCTCCACTACAACTTTTTTTTATTTAACGTCATTTATTTTATTTAACTTTATTTCATTATTTATTTTAATTTGACCAAAGAGGGGCAGAGTGAGAGAAAGAGGGAGAGAAAGTGAGAAAGTAAGCTGCCAGGTCCTGGACACGAACTGCAGTTGGCCATGGGGGAGTCCAGAGCCTTAAACCACCATGCCACCTGCTTCCACTACAACCTTACATGTTTGTGACACCAGATGTGACAAGTGTCTCCATATATATAAAGCAAGTCACTCCTCTGCAGCAAAAAACAGCTGGATGTCATCTAATTCAGTTCAATTCCTACATGACCTAGCTGAAGACAGCTTCAGAGTCCATAGGCCGAGAGCTCAGTACAACTAGCCACCAATTTCCAACGTCAATCTCAAACACCACTCATTTAACCTGTGCTTCTGTTTTACCCCTCCATGGGTTTGATCAATTTGATAATGAGCAGCTCATAGATTCAGGAAACACCTTTTACTAAATGATTATGAAGGTTATTTTAAAGATACACACTGAACGGCCAGATCAAGAATACATAGGGCTGAGTCTGGAATGAGTAGGAGTGCACCACCCTTCCAGAACATGGATATATACTTACCTCCCTAGATGTCCAACGAGCTCAGTTCCTAAGTTTTAAGAACTCGTTAAATCACTGCTCACTGGTTATCAACTCAACTTTCAGTCCCTCTGCCTTGCCTGGAGATAGGGGTGGGTGGCTGTGAGTTCTAACACTCTCAGTACCAGTCTCCATCCTGTGGTCATATAGGACTTCCCAATATCACATCATTAACATAAGCTCAAATATGGTTGAAAGGGGCTTGTTATAAGTAACAGAAGTCTGTCGCCTTTATTTTTCGCAATTGTTCAGAAACCACAAACAAAAGGCCAAATATTTTAACAACAACAAAAATATTACTGTTCTAGTCACTTGGGAAACTATGAGAGTTATAGTGAAATAAATGGCTTAGCACCAGCCAAATATATATCTAGATGCATAAATATATACAGAGTCTTAGAAGAGTATTAGGAATAGCCCAGAGTACACAGCACTGTGCAGTAACTATCTACTAGGTGAATATTCTGGGAAGAGAGGTCTCCCCTTCTCCATAATAATCTCAAAGAGATTAAGAGACTGATGTTCAGTATGACTCTGTAACTCCAACTGCGTAATTCCTCAAAACAAGGTGACTCAAGTGGTTTAGTTATAACTTTTTACAAAACTTGTCAGAGAGCATGTGCATTTGCCAGAGAGACAAAAGAAAGGGAGAAAGTACTAGGCAGTGGGGCAATGGTCATGCTTCAGTCTCTTCTCCATTTACCTACCCTGCCAGGACCTGAGGCACAGACACATATGCACAGCATGTTCTGAATCCTGCATCAGGATTTGAACTGCAAATGTCCAGGTGGGATCTGGTTCCCTTAACCACTAGACTACAGGTCTGGTCCAAGGTGGTTTAGTTATAAATAAGGACTATTTTCTGATACAGATTAATCACATATAGAGTGATATATCTCTAATAAGATATATACATATATTATAATAAAAAGTTTCGAACATAAAATGTCTAGTAACAACAACAACAAAAAAACCCACAAGTAATTCTCTCTTAATTAACTTCTTAAAATATCTTAGTGAAGCAGGGCCCAAACGTCAACTACACATTTTAACATAGTAGATGGGACAAATGAGGGCACCCGATTTTTAGTTCTAGTTATATAACACACTAGATACATCACTTAGGCAAATAATTGGTCTATTTTGTTTTACATAAAATGACATTATGGGCCAGCAAGTGGCATGGTGGTTGGGGCACTGGATCCCACGTGGCCCCCGCAGCTTGTAAAACATCCTGGGTATGTGTGCATATGTACCCAAATTCCCAAGAGAAGCGACTGCAGTATGGCTACCTCCCCTGGAGGGGTGCTTTCTCATGCACCTGTGCCCTACAGCAAAAAATTAAAAACCAACCAAAATCTATAAGAGAAGTACTTGGATATACTCAATAACCCATGGTTATTTAGGAGTATGTTGTTTATTTTCCACACATTTCTCAATTTTCCTTGTGTTCTTTTTAATCTGAACCTAATGTGGAGCCTCAAAATTGATTTAAGAAGTAAAAGGAGGACCAGTAGATGGTGTAATGGTTACATTGCTGGACTCCTACGTAGTTGACCATGGTTAGCATCCTGGACCCAGTGGCTTAAAACTCACACAGGGTACGTGCACGTGCATGTCCAAAATCCCAGGAGGAGAATGGAGGAAAGGGGACTACGGTGTGGCCATCCTCCCCATCTGTATCTCCAGAAGTGCACGAAGCACCCTATAGCAAAAATCTCTCTTAAGAAAAAAAAAAAAAGAAGTAGTAAAAGAATGTCTGAATAGACCTATGACAGGTAAAGATCTGTCAATTATCTTGATCTTTTCAGAGAATCAACTTTTGGTTTTGTTTTCTTATTATATGATTTCATTCCTTTTCTTTTCTTTTTTTTTTTTTTAAGAGGTTTTTGCTATAGGGCACGTGCACTTGCCAGAAAGACAGAGAGAGAAGAGACAGAGAGACAGAAAGTGAGAAATCACCTCCCAGGGGGGATGGCCACACCGCAATCCCTTCTCCTCCATTCTCCTCTTGGTATCTTGGGCACGCATGCACACGTACCTGGTGTGAGTTTAAGCCACGGGGTCCAGGACTCGAACCATGGTCGACTACATAGGAGTCCAGCGACACAGCCATTATGCTAACTGCTGGTCCACCTTTTAATTTTTTTTTTTAAGTTTAAATAGAAAAACAGAATTAAAGTACATGTTTATCTTGGTGCAAAACTTTTTTTTAAGAGAGATTTTTGCTATAGGGCGTGTGTGCTTGCCAGAGAGGGAGAGAGAGAGAGAGACAGAAAGCGAGAAATCATCCCCCAGGGGGGGTGGCAACACAACAGTCCCTTCTCCTCTCAGGATTTTGGGCACACATGCACACACACCCAGAGTGAATTTTAAGCCACCACTTCTGGGACTTGAACTGTGGTCGAGTACCTGGGAGTCCAGCAACGTAACCATTAGACTATCTGTTGGTCTCCTTTTTAAAATCATGCATGGTTTTGGGGGCCAGCAGGTGGTGCAGTGGTTGAGATGCTGGACTCCCACATGGCCAACTGCAGTTTGAGTACCAAACCTGATGGCTTGAAATTCCTGCCAGGCATGTAAACAAGCATTTCCAAAATCCTGAGAGGAGAATAGAGGAGAGAGGAACTGCGTCATGGCCATCCCCCCAGGGGCTGATTTCTCACTTTTTGTCTCTGTCTCTAGCGAGCAAGCTCATGCGTCCTATAGCAAAAATCTCATTTAAAAAAAAAAAGCATAATATTTTTTCAGAGTATGCATTTTCAATGAACTTTTTGAAGACTCATGGTATATTGAAAGTATTACACACCATGACAAAGTGAGATTTATTCCAGGAACACAGGTTGGTTTACAATCAAATATCAAACAATGTAATGCACTACACCAATAAAATAAAGGACAAAATCTACAGATATAGGGAAAAAATGACAAATATTAACACATTTTCTTTTAAATTTTTATTTTATTCAAAACAGAGAGAAATTGAGATGTGCTATCAACATATCTCATCACACTGCAACCCTATTCCCATGGTCCTCTGGCCTGTCAGGATCTTGGGCACACATAAGCCAGTGAGTTTTTAGGCCCACTCAGAAACTAAACTCATGTGGTTTCCAGCACAATTCTATACTGACTACACCACTAAGTCTGGACCTAACGTGTTTTCCACCTTGAAACAGGGAATTTCCCCAACTTACTACAGGGAATCTACAAAAAACACACAGCTGACATCATATGTGATGATGAGAAAACTGAATGCTTTCTCCCTGAGATCAATACAAGGATATCTGCTTTCACTATTTCTGTTTGACAGTATACTATAATAGAAAATACCAAAAATAAACCCAAAAGTTTGTTCTCTGAAAACATCAAGATAATTGACAAATCTTTACTTGTTACAGGTCTATTCAGACATTCTATTACTTTTTGACTCAGTTTTGAGGTTCTAGCCAGGGGAATTAAATAAGAAAAAGGAAAAAAAAAAAGACATCCTAGAAAGAAGTGGGGCCAGCAGGTGTGCAGTGGTTAAGGGGCTAGACTCCAAACCACGATTAGAGTCCCAAATCTGGCTGCTTGAAAATCACACCAGCACATGTGTATGCATACCCCAAATCCCAGAAGTAGAATAGAAGAGAAGGGATTATGGTATGGCCATCTCCCCAGGGGGTTATTTCTCACTTTCCTTCTCACTGTCTCTCTGTCAAGTGCATGTGCCCTATAAAACTTTTTTTTTAAAAAAAGGAGGAAGGTGAGTAAAAATCTATTTAATAAATAAATTATTAGTGCTAATAAATTCAGCAGGCTGAAACATATAAGATC